ATTCTTCTATAGATGGAAGATATTTCATTGGTTCTCCTACAGAGAGGGAGTTTCTACGCACAGAAAAATTTTAGCAAATATTCTTCAATATATAGAAGAAGTTTTATAGTCATTCCCTTCAAACCTTCAAAGGGGACTTGCAAATGTCAGTATTTCGGGTGTAATTTAGTATTTTGGATTCTCATTTGGTAACAATTCTTTTTAACAAAAATTATAAATATTGGTTCCACCCTTTATTCGATATTTTTGCGATTTTGGTCACATTTTCCAATCAAATTGTCTGTAATTTTGTATTCTCTTTGGGTAGCAAATCTACTTACCAGAAACTATCAATATTGACTTATTTTTAGGGAGAGCTCTTATTCAAGCATCCAGGCATTAATCGGTATGTCCGAATGGGCTATAGTTTCATATTTTAGGAGTTTGTTAGGTGTCAAATCTTTCTACCAAAAATTTAACATAGCCTCCATATTCAAGTAAAGATCGATTTGAGTTATTTTAAAAAAGGAGTTTGTTAGGTGTCAAATCTTTCTACCAAAAATTTAACATAGCCTCCATATTCAAGTCCCGATCCATTTATGGTATTTCAAATGTCTACCCCATGGGAGAGGGTATAAAAAATTCGACCCTGCCGAACTTCACGACGTTTTTAATTGTTTAAAATTCCTTCATTGATAAAAGACCCTCCAGCGGGCTAATCTACAGTTCCATATGTTGTTCTACTATATTTAAAACACTCATTAATGGAGTCTTTAGCATTGATGGAAGTGAGCCTTTCGATTTTTTAAAGATCTGATTTATATAGGAGACTCTTCACATAGTCTTTAAATAGTCCATTATATAGATCGATACATAAAAATCTCTAGATGACATTTTCTATAGTGTGCCAGACCACAAGCCAATGCATGGCGGGTTCAAATCCCAACATGGAACAAAAAATCCTTCAGATTCAAATCGCCCTGACATTCTAATAAACAACCTACTTGGTATTAACATCAACGCATGCGGATTACTGAAAAATAATAGTAATGACAAAAGATAGTGTCACCCAGTTGTAAATGACAACACTTGATAAGCGAGGACTACAACCACTGCATAAAATTCAAGTAAGTGATTTTCTAGCCGACGATCGATGACATCCCCTTTCATAGGATAAGATCAAACATTTACTTAGTTGGAATAAACAAAAAACAATGATAGAGAAAAATTTATATGATTTGCGGGAGCCCTATGCCCCCACGGGGACTATCAGAGTCCTGACTTAACATACTCGCCATCAACATATGACAATAACCCAAAAAAAGTATAAAAATGGCAAGTGAAAGTACGATCTAGATGAAAATGTCAACACTAGATTAGCAAGGACTCCAACCACTCCATAATATTCAAGGAAGTTTTTTTTCTAGGCAACGATAGATGGCAGCCTCATGTCCTAGGACCAGATCAATCATTTAGTTGGCTGGAATAAAAAAACATTATAGAATAAAACCAGTGAGAGGAACAGTATAGTCGGGCGGGGCAGACCATATGATACCCTACACAACTTCCACGAAAATCTAGCATTCTGTGTTTCTATATTCTGAACTTGAGCAATATTTTGCGATATTTGCACTCTCTTGACCGACTAGAGGTCAACAAATATTATTAATATTCAGTACAGCCCTTTCAATTGTGGCCTATAAATCGACTCGAAAATAACATAAACCAGTGAGTGAGTGGAGCAGTATAGTCGGACGGGCCGACCATACGATACCCTACACAACTACCACAGAACTCTATCTTTCTGTGGGTTTTTATTCCGAGCCTGGGTAATATTTCGTGATAGTTGCACCCTCTTGCCGATTAGAGGGCAAGAGGGTGCAACTGACATGTTTTCCTAAAATTACCAATATTCGGTACAGCCCTTTTAATTACTTGTCCATAATCCATTCACCCTGGGTTGTAGTGTGATGTTCGGATTGTAATTGTAGCCTATGGATCAAATCGAAAAAAAAACATAAAAAAAGTTGTCGATCCACATCATCCCAAAATTATTATCTGATCACAAACCGAAAATTAAAGGCGTCGTCGTTGACCGTAACCGGAACCTCATGGAACATTTCAAAGTGATTGGCGCTAAATTCCCGACCTCTAGTGTGGTAATAGTTTATAATATAATATCTGAGTACGTAAGCACCGACAATATAATTGGTGTCAATTTAAAGGCCAACCACTCCTCTTGGATATACTATCAACTCATCGGCTCTATGTCCTTCAGGAGTTTTGAAAACAGGCATGCTTATTCTTTGACCCAAACCCCATCTCCATGTAAAAATTCGCGATGTTTGGGCCATAACTGCAGCGTCTGGAGCGACCAGAAAAAACCGACAACAATTAAGTATTTGGTCCATTTCATCCCCTAAGCATTAAGCGCTCTTAGGGGTCTTCATTGTGCCGAACCCATCCTACATGCAACATTTCGTGAAGATTGGTCCATAACTGTGGCCTGTATCGTGTTTACAAATTATAATGGACAGACGGACACACATGGCTATATCGACTCAGCTAGTCGAGATATGACGATCGGTGGTACTTAAAGGTCGGTCTAGGACCAATATTTCGCAGCGTTACAAACTCTTGGGGCTGCACAAAGCTGTAATACCCTGACAACATAGTTGTGTAGGGTATAATGAATATGATTTGTGAAAGCCCTACGTTCCCAAAAGAATTAACAGCAAAAATTGTCTTCTGACGTCATCTGTACGTGTACAAACTTCTCGATCCTGTGTATGCAAACAATCACTAATATGATACTGGCAAAATCAATATTTTGTTCCATAACGCTTGAAAATACTTCCTCTTTTTTATACGTATATCAAGGACCTTGAAATTTTTGATTAATATATATATTTTTAGTATTTGGAACAAATTAAAATGTTTTCATTCTAATTTAAGTAACCCAAAAACATTTCTTTTAATCTGTATGAATGAGTGTGTTTTCTTTTAGTAATGGCGCATTTCCCAAAAAGAAATTTCCAAATGTATAAATACTATAAATCACAGCAGTCTGCCGCAGTACACACACACCCACCCACCCATCTGTTCGAATGTCCATTGACCAAATCTATTGAAACACAAGTGTTTCTTTTCCACTCTCACAATTTTAGCTTTGAATTTTCACAATAGCAGCACAATTTTTACGTCACTTACTGCGAAAATGGATTTCTATTTTCATAAATGTGTTGTTGTTGTTGTTCGGGTTTTCTACATCTTTCTTCGTGATACAATGTGTTCATTTATGTGATTTGTAATCAAGATCTGTGGTTTCGTTTCAAATATATAAATACACTGCCTGAATGATGGGTAGAATGGAGATTATCAATTAATGACTATGATTTTTCTATCACTTGACATGAATTTTACAATATCTGAAATATACATTTTGGAAATTAATAATTGAATTATTACCATAACATCGATATAATCGATAAATTAATTAATTTGTTTGCAGACAAAAAAAATCTGGTTCCATGATTTTTGGATTCAAAAACTGAAATTTATATAGCCTTGTCACAAATTTTAAGCCAAAAAGACCAGGAGTACAATGAGCCCTGTACTCAAACAAAGTAAAAATCGCACCTCTATAAATACCGTATCCCTCTCGAATGAAATCATGAGAATAAAAATCTCTTTCTGCCAAAATGCGTTTTTGTATGTTAGGCCGGGAACTTTATAGTAGATCTTCAGCGGCACTGAATCGTTTTATTAATATTATTGCCTATACCGAAACTCCTGACACCTTCATAAGATATTTTGATGGCATATACTACTTATACCCAAAAATACCTAAAATCGGGGCCACATTGAACATTTTCTGCCAGCTGATTTTTTATACGTTGAGCATATGAAATATCCATTTATATACCTTCGAAATAGTTAATATCGACCGGGTTCGATATGTGAAGGATAGTCAAAAAATTTGCCTAGAACCATAAAAAATATATAATCTGGAACAGGACCTTATATTGAGGTTATATCGAAACATTAACCTATATTGACAAATTTCCGGATGGGGATATTTAGAGAGGACATTAATTAGAGAGTAATTAATCGGATAGCAAAAATTCAGGCATTTTGCCTTTAAAATTTCTGACAATGAAGCGGAACTGTTATATGAGAGCTATACCAAAAAGGCGGTATAACATTTTAATAACATTTTGGGAGGCAACTATATATATTTATTGCCTAATCATAAAACTGTTGTTAGTTGTCATCAAAAACATCTTCAGACCATAACAATATTTGGTTTTTTTATTTATGGGGATAGGAAGAAGTCATTGGTTGCTAAGTCAGTTCTGTACCGAGAACGACCCATCAATTTTGCGTTTTGATCGTTTAGAAAGGCGCTGGTTTGAGCCGATATATGAGGCTCACTCTCCGAAGTCTTCGGGTAAACAAATTGTGGTGTACGACTCAAAATTAGAGTTGTACAGTTCACGAACGAACTAGTTCAAATGAACGATTCACTTAAATGACCGATTGAACTAGGCCTTCTTTTTAGTTCATTAAAGGAACGAACTGGAATAATAATATGTTGCCTATCATTTGTGTTGGCAAGTATTTTTTCAATTATTCTAAAACTTTTCTTAAAAAATCTACGCCTTATAGGTCTACATATTCTTTGGAACCTTTTTTATTCCAACCTTTATAAGTTCATCAATTCTTTCGAAACGTTTCATTAAAAATCCACACCTTATAGGCCCACACATCACAATCTTCGAAGAACACAAACTATCGACTGAACGATTCGGAAAGCGATGAACTATTAAAAGAATGACCGAAGTAAAACGACAGCTGAATAAATGAACTTAATTGCGAACGATTGAACTACTGAACTAGAACACCGAACTAGTTCCGTTAAAAAAAGCTGAACTAATATGAGCGATCAGCTAACTGAACTAGATAGAACAACTCTACTCAGAATAATGAATGTATGTCCAATGGAGACTTAATTTCACGGCATGTCAAATGAAGATTTTGCATTATCAAGTCTCGCACAGTGTGAATGTTCACGTAAACCTAACCCTAGCGAAGCTAATTTAATTGATTTTCTTAATGTTATAAATAATTTAACTAATTTACATGTACGACGCCCTTTACTCACATTGAAAGTAAAATTCTATTATGCTATATCTATTCATTTTTATTGTTTTTGTCTTGTAATTCCCCTATTCATCATTTCTTTGTTGTTTTCTATTCCATTTTTGCAGGATCAGTACGACAATTTAGCCATACACACAAATAAAGGCATTGAATTCTTGGACAAATATGCAAATTTTATACGTGACCGTTTAACGATAGAAACAGAATATGCCGCCAAATTAAGGTAAGTCAAGCCCCATGTCTCATACAATTATTGTTAGCTTTTTATTGTTATAAATTAGTATTACTCAGTTTTGTTGTTAATAATAAAAAATTGAATTTATTATTAATCATATATTTACAACAAAGGAACTTAAAAAAAGAAAAACAACAACAGTAACACAACAATAATTTTTATTTCATAAAAACGGGAATATTGAAAATATATTTTTTCATTCTTCCCATTCAATAGACATAGATGTATTTGTAATAGATATAAAAGCTTTCAAGTGGTCTTCGGCAAAGTCGAAGGTGTTTTAGGGGGAGATCGAAGACATTTACACAGATTATGAATAAGAAATATTATAAAGCATTTGATGTATTTTATCTTTGTTTGTGGTCATGATGCCATTGGAAGTAGTAGTTGTTGTCCACATCCAATTTTTCGCTTTTAAATATTTCTTAAAATAATAAGGTACTCATATTTATATACAGTAAAAATGTTGAACCACTACAGGCCAAACGTACCTTCCCAAGCCATGTTATCGGATCTTATTTAGATCTTTTAACAGAGAGAGGCACACAGTGGGAAAAAATACCGATCTAGCGCGCAGAAAATAAAAAATGAACTTGAAGGAAACTTTAAAACATTAATGCAGTTTTAAAGTAGAGTGCTGAGTGTACTTTTGTCCGAATAAAATAATCCGAATTAATAAGTTAGAACGGAATAACGGTACAATTATAAAATATATTTTTTCCAATGTTAAAAATGGTATTTTTTAGCTATAAAATTGCGATGGTCGTGTGCATTCTGTGAATATATTATTATAGAATTTTGTCCATTTTTGATATATAGTATTGGTATTTAATTAAATGGAATAGTTATATAACCCATAAGTTATTTTAATTTAGGTGTTTCGGGCCAAATATATGTAAGGTCAATTTTTTTTTAAATTCCTTTAATTAAAATAGGGGTTTCGTATGGAGTGCAGTCGAGTTCAGCGTTGATTTTTATTTTATTTCTTTTGTGTGTCTGTCTAGAACATCATACTAATTTTTTTCCTGCGACTTCCTGCGACTCTCGGATTTATGGCATTTTTTTTTTGGAAAAAATCCAATTTGGTGTAGGAAGCCTTTTGAAGGTTTTGTTCAAATAAAATTAAAAAAAATGTGAATTGTGTTGGTATAATTGATCAAATATGACTTGGAATAGATCACAGCATAACAGATAAGAACAAAAACTTCAAAATGTCCGTCCTAAGGTTCCAGAGAAATGGGTGTGAGTATGGGGGTATTTAAGTAAGCTGCTCAAAACATTGATTTTAAACTCATGCATTTATTCCAAATGTCTTTCTAAATAAAAATTGAAATTACAACGACATCGGTTGTAAGAGTCTTCTCAGATACCACCGGTAAAGGGTCTACTTTATGAACCCTGAAAAATATCATTGGTGTAACACATTTATGGTTTTCGCTATAACAAATTACCACAAAATTTTGTCATTAACACCAAACATCAACTTATACGAATACGGTCTGTCTACCTTACATGCAAGGATTCGATGTTTAGAATGTATATTGCACGTTTCATACCGACTAGTTTTAAAAAGGTGGAAAATTAATCGGCCACTTTTCGAAGAAAAGAAGGCACGTATCATTAATGATTTGAAGGACATTATTGTTGACACACCTAAGTCAGTATCCGGAACAACAAACGATGACAATACTGCTAGGCGTTTTTTAGCCGACATGGCTTGGCATCGTCAATAACTGCTGTTGATGAAAAATTAATTAAAAATTTTAGTATCATCCTTTCAACCATGAACTGTGGATATGCTATTAACGCAGAGTCATTTAAGAAAAAACTTACTGAGGACACATTTATTCTTTTCGTGGAATTATATCCTTGGTTCTATATGCCTTCAAGCATACACAAAATATTACTGCATGGTGCTGATATAATTAAATGTGCAGCTTTGCCCGTAGGAATGTTGTCTGAAGAAGCCATGGAATCCAGAAATAAGGACTTTCGGAACTACAGGGAACTGTACACCAGAAAAATTAGTCGTGAGGAAACAATGAGGTTTCTTTCCAATAGGTTGCTATTTTCTTCTGATCCAAAAATATCAAGTTTGTCTCGTAGTACATCTCTTAACCATCGATATAGTGAGCCACTATCTGAAGAAGTCCTTAAACTTCTGGAGGATCCAATGCTACCAAATAATTCGGATCAAAACTCGGATTCTGAATATGATTAGTGTTTAATAAGTAATGCCTAAATTTTATAGTTTAATGTTTTAGATATATAATATTAACAATAATAAATATACATATAATAACAATAGTGTTTGCCCTTAACCCACTTTTTACCCTCCAAATGCTTCGGAATTTTTAAAAGAAGCTCCCATTTTAGGAGTACTGTTAGTTATAAAAATGTTGCTTATTATAAAATGTTTCAAATGCTTCAAAATAGTAATTTTCACCTAAAAATTTAAGTTTTTTTCTAAAAAAAAATCGGCGCTTAATGGGTTAATAAAAAAAAAAACAAAATTGTCAAATTTTTTCATAAAATAATTAAAATTGTCCATCTAAATCTATTCTTATCAAAAATATCGATAAACATACATTTTTCCCACTGTGAGGCGGTTTCTTAGTTGAGGTACCTTTCTCTTAGGAACTATTTTACAGATATAATACCATGCCTAAAAGTATGCCTTAAATTTCGTAGAATAGATAGATTTATTGAACCCTTATCAATTAGTTAAAATGATTAGATAAAAATTATATTTTAAAATTTCGGCAAGGCGCCTATGTTACTACTATACTATATAGCAGGTTATAACAGCATATTATTTAGATTCTTATACCCTTAGCATTGTGGCTAGCACTTTGCTACGTCAAAAATGTGCCTCTTCGAATAATTGTTTTTTAATCCCAAGTTTTTTCTTTTGACCAAGTCTGTTTCAGACAATTTGAAGTCGAATTAGAAATTTCCGCCTGTCTGTCTGGCTGTTGGGCATAATAATTCTCGAAAGAAGTAACCGATTTCATCCAAACATATATCATGTATGAAGATGAGCAATATCGGTCTACATTTTCTAGCATTTTCCCCAGCCAATGCACTATAGGTCAAATAACCACTTTTTCTGTGCAAAATTAATAGCGGCAACAAAATCATAGTATTCGTCATGACATTTGGCCCAACTGATTTTTTTGTTACTTGAATCGTTATTTTTGAATTTGGAAGAAATCGGTTCAGATTTGGATATAGCTCCCATATATATATATATATATATTTTCGTCCGATTTTATGTAAATGGTGCACCATACTGCCAATATTGGTCCGATTTAGACAAAATTTTGAACAGAGTATTGAATTAGGTCTAGATTGGTATGTGTCAAGTTTTTTTTGAAATCGGTTCAGATTTAGATATAGCTCCCATATATAGTTTCGTCCAATTTTATGTAACCAGAGCACCATACTGCCAATATTGGTCCGATTGAGACAACATTTTACACAGAGTATTGAATTATGTCCAGATTGATGTATGCGAAGTTTTGTTGGAATCGGTTCTGATTTAGATATAGCTCCCATATATAGTTTCGTCCGATTTTAGGTAAATAGTGCACCAAACTGAAAACGTTTGCCCGATTGGGACAAAATGTAGCACAGCGTACGGAATTTAATCGAGTTGGACATCTGTGAAGTTTTGTTGAAATCGGTCCAAATTTATATATAGCACACATATATAGTTTCGTCCGATTTTATGTAAATAGTGCACCAAGCTCCCAATAATGGTCCGATTTATACGAAATTTTGCACAGCGTACTGAATTCAGTCCAGTTTGGCATCTATGAAGTTTTCCTGGAAGTCGGTCCATATTGAGATTTTTGGTAAATGATGCACCAAAATTTCAATATTTATTCGATTGGCATGCAATTTTCTTATAGATTTCAGGTTTTTATTGGCTCAAATATCTATGTAGATCACATTTGTTTTTTACCCGATTCCATGTTAATGGTCATCCAAAAATGGTATGTCTCTTCTATCAACAGGATATTGTACACATTATCATTTTTGTTTGTACCCAAAGTGGTAAAGGGTATCATATAGTCGATCCAGTCTGACTTTTGATCTTTCCTTACTGGTTGTCTTTGAAAACATTCATCTTTCTGTGACATATTTCCAAATTTTGCGCTAATGTTAAGCAAAATTAATGTACTATTTGCTTTAAAAATTTCTCTCTTTCATCCGAAATGTTGTCGACAGCAATTTTGCTCACTACATGTTTGAAAACAGCACCAGGTTTTTTTTCGTTTTGTTACCATATTTTCGCCATATTTCAAAAAGTTCGATTTTTTATACGGAGGTTGCCTAGATAAAAGAGGCATTACTCGTAAAACGCAAAAAATCGCAACTTGAAATAAACATAAATTAACTCATTACTTATCACTTAATTTGTGTGCAAAATTTCAAAGAGGTCATAGACTAAAGGGTTATTTTCAAGTCTAGTGTCGCAAACATAAAAATGTTTTGATTTAATATAAAAATGCTCACTTGTACCTATATTTTCCATTTTACACTAATTAATTATTGTAAACACAATCGAAATAATACGCACTCAAAGTTGACTAAGCCCCACAGAAATATAAGCACATTTATAGAATAAATCGTATTGAGCGACTTGCACGGCCAGCTATGTAACGGTACTTTATATTTAGCACTAATAAATATCACGTGTCTCTATTCTAGAGTGTTCTAAATACAAAAACAACAACAACTCGTGTATAACGACACTTTGATTTTCACCAATTTTGCACAGAAAAACCGGTCATTTGACCTATAGTGCAATGGTCAGATTATGCGATTTGAACCAAACTAACAACACAACCTAATATTTTATCCAAGTCTGTATATTGTCTGAAGATGGAACTTATTTGGCCACTTCTCTAGTAATTCTCCTCCATATGGTAAACATTTCGAAGTAGTGTTAATCACACATAAATCGAAGAAAATATCCAATTTCTTCGAATCTTGGTACATGTTAATACTTATCGCAGAAATAGATTAAGTCTGAAGATGGAAGTCTGATATTATCAATTAGAATATCAATTAAATTGAGGGATCTAAACTTTACACATCGTCATATTCTTACCAAACCTATATCAAGTCTGATCCATCTAAAAAAATTCAAATTCAGTATCCAGCAATTTGGGTGTTTTTTATCAAACCTATGTCATCAGCTCCTCCTCGTTCTTCGCTCGCTTTCAAACTTTTTAAAATTAATTCGAGGTTAATTGAGTATCCGATTTGATCCATTGTAGACCCTCGCCAAGCTGAATGTCATACACGTCAGGATATCTCATATGTTATACGCTGTGGATATTTCTCTGACCCGACTTTTTTAATTCCTCAGCACATTTTTCAAGGTGCCATTGACTATTGTAAGGCGTTCAGTAATTATAAATAATAAATTTAAAAGATTTTGGAAATAGGTCTAATGTAATGTTAGTCTTATTACTTTCCCAAAAATTTATTTTCTATTCAACATCTCTATATTTGCCTACAGAATCCGCATCAATTAATAACTCCTACAAATTAATTTTTTTTTATATTTTAATCCTTTATTTCATTTTAACCCCCCCTTTAATATGAGATACCAGTATTGGACTTGATCCAATCCAAGTAGCTTGTCAAACGGGTGAAAGCAGCTGGGTAACCCTTGGCGCAACCGGCAGCAGCACCGAATGAAGTCAAACCAATTTGAACCTTGGAGGATTCCAAAACCAATGGACCGCCAGAATCACCATTGCAGGTGGAGACACCACCGGGAGTGGCAACGCAAAGTACGGTCGAGGTAACAATAGAGGTACCATAGGTTTGAGCACAGACAGAATTGGTGATGACTTGCATACGGGCCCATTGCAAGTTGTTGGTGACACCGCTGGCCGAATCGGAAATCTTACCCCAACCAGAAGCGATGGCATAATCACCAACATACGTGGAATAGGAGTTGGAGATGGCGGGCAATCTAACGGGTTGAATGCGGCTGGTATAGGTGACAGAGGGGATCTTGATCAAGGAGATGTCGTTCTTAACAGTGGCGCTATTCCAGCCAGAGTGGATGATGATGTCGCTCTTGGGAACGGTAAAGGTGACTTCAGCAGAGGTACGAACGGTGGCACCCAAGTAGACGGTGACGGATTGTATACTACAGAAAATAGAATTTAATTTTTTACAAAATATATAAAAAACATCTTAGAAAAAAATCTCCTTACCCATCAGTACAATGGGCAGCGGTCAAAACCCAGTTGTTACCGATCAAGGAACCACCACACCAGGCCGAGGCTAAGGCATTAACCTTCAAGGAAAGACCAACTTGATAGGGGAATTGACCAACGGAGGCGGTGTTGCCATTGGTAATGCGACCTTCGCCATCAATGACCGGTACAACCAAATCGCGTTGGAAGATATCCTCAGCGGAGACGGCGGCCAAAGCCAAAGCGAAAATAATAAAGAATTTCATGGTGCTACTGTACGAATACAATTGCTTGATTTTCACAAAATGGTATCAAGTTTATATACTGAAAATCTTATCAATGCAGGCGGCGTTTGTTGTCAGTTCTATATAAAAAAAGAAAATGGCAAATTATTGTTTAGATTGCACACATTTTTCCTACCTTAAGTGGATTTTGGAAAACAAAAACATTTGTCATATCTCTCGCAGACTGTTTGGGCCACACTTTAATATGCAAAAAAATTAATAATATATAAGCCATCATAAAGATAATGTCATTATGAGGTTTCAATTCAATATGCCAAATCACAATCTCCCTCTATCAATAAGGCCCATGTCGTGATAATTCCAGTAAACAAAACAAATAATAATATTGGATTTTGTTTTATCACAACAATTGCACTAAAAATAATCCAGGGCATTTTAGAATTTGACCAACTTCTTTTTGTTTTTTGGTAGATAGTTAATCTCGTCGCCAATTTTGATAAGTTACCCTATAAAAACCATGCACGGACCCATTGCAAATAAGCAGTTGTATTTCGAACAGCAGTAGCACCATGAAATTCTTAGTAGTTTTCGCTTTGGCTTTAGCCACCGCCTCGGCCTTTGATTTGAGATCCGAATATGTGGAATCTCGCAGCGTTGTCATGCCCGTCGTTGAGGGCGAAGGACGCATTACCAATGGCAACACCGCCTCTGTTGGACAATTCCCCTACCAAGTTGGTCTATCCTTGAAGGTTAATGCTTTGTCTTCGGCCTGGTGTGGTGGTTCCTTGATTGGTAACCGTTGGGTTTTGACCGCTGCTCACTGTACCGATGGGTAAGTAGTCGTAATTTTTTTTCCTACTATATTCCTTGGCCATATTTACAAATTGGAAATTCTTTTTATTAGTATCCAATCTGTCACCGTTTACTTGGGCGCCACCGTTCGTACCTCCGCTGAAGTCACCTATACCGTTTCCAAGAGCGACATTATCATCCACTCTGGCTGGAACAGCAGGACCTTGAAGAACGACATCTCCTTGATCAAGATCCCCTCTGTCACCTACACCAGCCGCATTCAAGCTGTCAAAATCCCCGCTATTGCCAACTCCTACTCCACCTATGCCGGTGATTATGCCATCGCTTCTGGTTGGGGCAAGATTTCCGATTCGGCTACCGGTGTCACCAACAACTTGCAATGGGCCCGTATGCAAATCATTACCAACACCGTCTGTGCTGCCACCTATGGTACCTCCATTGTTACCTCGTCCAACATTTGTGTCTCCACCCCCAACGGTGTCTCCACCTGCAATGGTGATTCTGGCGGTCCATTGGTTTTGGAATCTTCCAAGGTTCAAGTTGGTTTGACTTCGTTCGGTTCTTCTGCCGGTTGTGCCAAGGGTTACCCAGCTGCTTTCACCCGTTTGACCAGCTACTTGGATTGGATCAAGTCCAATACTGGTATCTCCTACTAAATGGATTGAACGACTTATTTTCGATGAAATAAAGGATTAAATAAAAAATATATAGATTTTTTTGAATTATTAAATAGAGAGTTATGGATAGTTATAAAATTCTCTTTTTATAAGGATATACCTTGAAAGAAAAAAATTATAGACAATGGTTCCCTTGGGTATATTCTGAGAACTATGTCGAAAATATATGTCAGGCTACGGGGCTCAATTTTTTGTATAAAAACGTTGTCAGACCATGGAATAGTTTTTCAGGACCCGATACTACCTCTTTTCTACTGAAAAATATTTCGTCAAGTACCGAAAAAAGCCTCAGTCTTCATTTTTTTATAGAAATCAAATCGTAACGTCGTATTTTTGTAATACATAGTTGGAAAGGGCCGCGAAAGCAATTAATTCGTTGCAAGACAGGACTTTGAGTCCAATTTGCATTATAGGACACAATCTAGACAGACATGTGGACTCCATTTTGTCGAAAAATAAATATCAGGCCACAAGGCTTAATTTTGTGTATTAAAATTGCTACGCCATGGGACCTTAGATATAAAAATCTTCAAAACCATGGCCCCAATATTGTTTCTATATATGAAACAATTCGTCAGCACGTATGGTCTATTTTTTATTCTTTTAAAAAAATTCCATCCAGCGGACCCATTTTTTCCTGTAGAATTCCATTTATGGAATGTAGTTCAGTTAGATATCAATGCCGGATTTATTCTGTAGAAAACAGTTTGTCAAGCCCATGAGCCAAATTTTTGGTACAAAGTTCCGGGGCTAAATTTGTTAATTTGAGGTCCAAGGACTAAATTTGTTAATAAAAATATGTCCAGTACCTTTGACTAACCTTCTGCGCCATTTTTTCTTTATGAACATTTCGTCACGAACCTTAGATTTATTTGTTCTTTCTCAATTAAATACATAAAATGTCGCAAATTCCGAAGTACCCAGAGATCAGGACAAATAGTTTCAGGATACAGAGCCTTTTTGTTATATAAGAAAAACTAACAAAAAACCGCCAAGTCACTACATCCTGTCCTCTGGACATTCTTCCGGCAACCTCTGGGTCCTGCTACAAATTTTTATATTGAAAAAAAAAAATAATAATAATTAGTACTTTTGTCAGAAATAAATCGTCCATTCAGTGGAATAAAGTTTTTCTATAGGAATATTTCGTTCTGGACAGAGGACCTAACATTATCTGTAGAACAAAATCGCCCCAAGGCTATAGAAAAAAACTCATCGGGTCCTTGTGCACATTATTTACATATAAAAAATAAATCATCGGTCCGAATTTTCCATATGAAAAAAAAATTGTTCATTCAGTGGAATTAAGTTTTTCTATAGGAAAATTACCGTCTGGACAGAGGACCTAACATGTTCGGTATATAAAGTTTGATAGACACCTATCCGGTTCCTAGATAATATTTATAAATAAATATCCAGGGCCAATATTTTTCTAAATAAAAAAGCCTGATTCCCAGGATAATATTTTTATATAGAAACATGTCTTCTATAGGAAAAAAAAACAGGTCGGCTCTAAAGTATGTTGTTTTCGGTCCATATCCACCCAACCATATTTAACTTGCCGCGGCGATTTTCTGTTCTAATACAGTATTTTTCGGTTAATTGCACATCAAAATTTGCACAAATTTTTGTTCAATTAACCGAGGAACCAATTATCCGAACCCGCTTAATTGAATAGTTTGTTCAATTACAGTAATCACGTATAATTGGAACTACAAATGATTTAAAAAAATCATTTTAACAAATTTAGCCCCGGAACTTTGTAGCAAAAATTTGGCTCATGGGCTTGACAAACTGTTTTCTACAGAATAAATCCGGCATTGATATCTAACTGAACTACATTCCATAAATGGAATTCTAAAAAGAATAAAAAATAGACCATACGCTGGATGGAATTTTTTTAAAAGAATAAAAAATAGACCATACGTGCTGACGAATTGTTTCATATATAGAAACAATATTGGGGCCATGGTTTTGAAGTTTTTTATATCTAAGGTCCCTTGTGGCCTGATATTTATTTTTCGACAAAATGGAGTCCACATGTCTGTCTAGATTGTGTCCTATAATGCAAATTGGACTCAAAGTCCAACTATGTATTACAAAACTATGTATCCAACTATGTATTACAACTATGTATTACAAAAATACGACGTTACGATTTGATTTCTATAAAAAAAATGAAGACTGAGGTTTTTTTCGGTACTTGACGAAATATTTTTCAGTAGAAAAGTGGTAGTATAGGGTCCTGAAAAACTATTCCATGGTCTGACAACGTTTTTATACAAAAAATTGAGCCCCTACGGGGCGACATAGTTCTCAGAATATACCCAAGGGAACCATTGTCTATAATTTTTTTCTTTCAAGGTATATCCTTATAAAAAGAGAATTTTATAACTATCCATAACTCTCTATTTAATAATTCAAAAAAATCTATATATTTTTTTATTTAATCCTTTATTTCATCGAAAATAAGTCGTTCAATCCATTTAATAGGATATACCAGTATTGGACTTGATCCAATCCAAGTAGCTGGTCAAACGGGTGAAAGCAGCTGGGTAACCCTTGGCACAACCGGCAGAAGAACCGAACGAAGTCAAACCAACTTGAACCTTGGAAGATTCCAAAACCAATGGACCGCCAGAATCACCATTGCAGGTGGAGACACCGTTGGGGGTGGAGACACAAATGTTGGACGAGGTAACAATGGAGGTACCATAGGTGGCAGCACAGACGGTGTTGGTAATGATTTGCATACGGGCCCATTGCAAGTTGTTGGTGACACCGGTAGCCGAATCGGAAATCTTGCCCCAACCAGAAGCGATGGCATAATCACCGGCATAGGTGGAGTAGGAGTTGGCAATAGCGGGGATTTTGACAGCTTGAATGCGGCTGGTGTAGGTGACAGAGGGGATCTTGATCAAGGAGATGTCGTTCTTCAAGGTCCTGCTGTTCCAGCCAGAGTGGATGATAATGTCGCTCTTGGAAACGGTATAGGTGACTTCAGCGGAGGTACGAACGGTGGCGCCCAAGTAAACGGTGACAGATTGGATACTAATAAAAAGAATTTCCAATTTGTAAATATGGCCAAGGAATATAGTAGGAAAAAAAATTACGACTACTTACCCATCGGTACAGTGAGCAGCGGTCAAAACCCAACGGTTACCAATCAAGGAACCACCACACCAGGCCGAAGACAAAGCATTAACCTTCAAGGATAGACCAACTTGGTAGGGGAATTGTCCAACAGAGGCGGTGTTGCCATTGGTAATGCGTCCTTCGCCCTCAACGACGGGCATGACAACGCTGCGAGATTCCACATATTCGGATCTCAAATCAAAGGCCGAGGCGGTGGCTAAAGCCAAAGCGAAAACTACTAAGAATTTCATGGTGCTACTGCTGTACGAAATACAACTGCTTATTTGCAATGGGTCCGTGCATGGTTTTTATAGGGTAACTTATCAACAATAACGACGAGATTAACTATCTACCTAAAAAAGTTGGTCAAATTCTAAAATGCCCTGAATTATTTTTATTGCAAGTTTCTGATAAAACAAAATGCAATATTATTATTAATGTTTTGTTTACGGGAATTATCACGGCCAGTGCCTTATTAATAGTAGGAGATTGTGATTTGGCATATTGAAAATGGAAAACCCCAAAAATTGGCATTATCTTTATGGTGGGGCTTATGTATTATGATTCTTTTTTTGCTTATTAAAGTGTGGGCCAAACTGTCTGGAAGTGATATGCCAAATGTTTTTGTTTTTCAAAATCCACTTAAAGTAGGGCAGAAATTTGTTTGCACTCTCAAGAATTTCAATTTCAGTTTTCCAATATTAAATAATAAATCAAAAAATAAAACAATATTAAATCCCTCAGATCATATCTGGGCCGTAGTTGGCTGACTCAAATAATCTTGACTTAACAAAATCGAAACAGATCCAGAACATTTTCAGGTCAAACAGCTATCAAAAAATAACAAAACATTCAAACGATCGGACTTATCAGTATAAATAAAAATTTGAGTACAAATCGATTAGCACTAGCTGGAGTAAGTTCCAAGTTTTCTGTATTTTTAGTTTTTAATGAAATCTCTCCAATATATTCTGTTGGCCTTCTGTCTAGCAATGTGAGACGTTTTGAGGTTCCTATCACACCTTTCGAACCATTTAAATTGCAATTCAGTAATTAAATTTGTAATTCAAAAACTCAATTTGTAATTTATAACACTTCAGTTGTAATTCGAGAATGTAATTGCTAGTTCACAACTTTTAATTTGTAATTTTAAGCTTTTCATATGTAATTCAAAAAATTTAATTTGAAATTTAAAGAATTTCATTTGTACTTCGTATATTTCGATTTGCAATTCATAGAATTTCATTTGAAGTTCAAGGAAATTAATTTACAATTCAAAGAATATAATTTGTAATGCATAACATTTCATTTGTAATTCATAATATTATAATTTAAAATTAAATGTTATGAAGATCAAAAGAAATGTTATGAATTTCAAATGGAATTCTTTGAATTTCAAATAGAATTTTATGGATTTTAAATGTAATCCTTTGAATTTCAAATGCAATCCTTTGAATTTCGAATACAATCCTTTGAATTTCAAATACAATCCTTTGACTTTTAAATGCAATCATTTGAATTTCAAATGCAATCCTTTGAATTTTAAATGGAATTTTATGAATATCAAATGAATTTCGAAATATTTTCTACGAATTACAAATGAAATTCTCGAATTAACAATTGATATGTTATGAATATTTAGGGGATGAAATGGACCAAATACTTAATTTTTGTCGGTTTTTCTGGTCGCTCCAGAGGGAGCAATTATGGCCCAAACACCGCGAATTTTTGCATGGAGAAGGGGATCGGGCCAAAGAATAAACATGCCTGTTTGATAAAGATCGGTCAATATTTAACGGGTCAAATGGACCTTGACTTTTGTGTGAAAAATTACAAAATTTGTATTGTTTTAGATTTACCCCTGAAGGACATAGACCCGAGAAGTTGATAGTATACCAAAGAGGAGTGGTTGCCCTTTAGATCGATACCAATTTTATTGTCGTATGTACTCGGATGTGGGAGTTACATTTAAATATTTACAGGTGCTCAGATATTATTTAGTTGCCCAGAGGGGCTATTATGGTCCAAACATCGCGAATTTTAACTTGGAGAAGGAGATCGGGCCAAAGAATAAACATGCTTGTTGTTAACGCGGGAGAAAGGAAAATACAGAGGACTTGTAAGGTCGAATGTCATTTCAATTCTTTTGTGTGAAAAATGACAAAATTGGTATTCGATGGCGTATATATTTACCCCTGAAGGACATAGGCGCAAGAAGTTTATTGTAGTATATCCAAGATGAGTGGTTGACCTTTAAATTGATACCAATTATATTGTCCTATGTACTCGGATGTGGTAGTTCCCCTTAAATATTTACAGGTGCTTACACACTAGAGGGCGGAAATGTAGCGCTGATCGCTTTGAAATTTTCCATGAGGTTCCAGTTATGGCCAAGAACAACGCCTATAATTTTTGGTGATAGTCAGATAAAAAATTTGGGATGAAGTGGACTGAAAACTTATTTTTTTTTTGTTTTTTCGAGTCAACTATCACGAAATATTGCCCAGACTCGGAATAAATATTCGCAGAAAGTTAGAGTTCCGTGATAGTTATGTAGGGTATCGTATGGTCGACCCCGTCCGACTATACTGCTCCGCTCACTTGTTTTTCTGTTAATTGGTGTGGCACCCAAACATTGTGCTTCTTTTTGAATCCAGCTGCGTGTAAATGGTTTAAATAGATTTATGTTCGATTTTAAGCTCCTGGGCAATGTTTTATCGACATTCTCGACGACCGGCCTAATGAATTTCTTTTTCCCCAGCCTAATATTTGTATACCCTCAGATATGGCAATAATAAATTGTTTCTTTAGACCAAATCCGTTTTAGACAATTTTGAGTCTATTTTCAAAAATCGTTCCGTCTGCCTTAAAAAAAAAAAAATAATAATTTTATTGCTTTTCATCACTTTTCATCCATTGTTTTCATCAAATTGTCCTCTCGAATTTTATACCCCCTTCATAATGCATGTCAATTGCTTTGGGGTTCTATAAGGAAAATTCAAGCATTGTTTATGGACTGGCCAGCAAACGAGTTTATTTGAAAATTTTATTTTTTTTCAATTATTTGTTGTTTGTGGTCAAATCTGTTGAGTTACAGCTGCGCGCTCTTTTCCGCTGCAGCTTAGATAAGAATGAGCTATTAATGACTTTGTGTGTGTGTTTTTTGCAATGCTTTTAAGAAAAATTCATGTGAACCTGAGTGTTGAATTAGAGACAAAGTGATCGTAACTGTTGTAACCTTGAAGTTTCCACAAAACGGCAACAAAAACAACTTGAATTTCATGAGAAGAAGAAAAAAAAAACAACTCACAATTTTGCTACCAAATAATAATTTTAGCCATATTTGGGATTTTAAATAGATTTCGAAGCAAGGGGACAGCCAGCATACTAGCATACCGAATCAACAAAGTGACGGCAAAATGACGCCACAATAGACGGAGATTTTTTTTTTGAAAACTTTAAGAGGCAATTTAAAGTGGCATTGTTGCAAGCTATGGCATAACATAATTTGTCGTTGTCTTTGGAATTGTTATTGTATTGTTTTGAGCGGGTGTTATAAGTGTGCACCACAATCAAATTTTATTTAAAATTTATCTTGATTCTGCTGCCAGTGTATTCATGCGTATTTCAAGTGTAATAATTTATATGTATAATAATAATTATAAACATGGAAATTAGTCAGACCAACGATATATTCAAAGATCAGTAACTAAATCTATTAATTGTTAAGATTGCAGTGATTTAGATTTAACCTCCAATAATTACCCTAGTGTACAAAACAATGACAAAGCTTATAAACATATAAATAATATTCCGATTATAATTTTTTATGACAACTTCTGTTCGAACGGCTGGCGGCCAGCAGGTCGGTTAAATTATCTTATCACAACAATCGATGTTGTCGAAGATTAACAAACATAACAAAATTTCCCATTCAATCCAATCAATCGAATACAAATTATTAACGTCATCATTTTTTTGCGAACATTTCAAGAGCGTGCCTAAAAAAGAGAACAACCATACAAACATATGCGTCTTCTAATCACTTTGTTTAAGTGATTTTGATCACTCCGTTGTTTTACTGCTATAATTAGAAGCACTTGACACTTTATGATTGGTTCCCAAATTAAAACCAATCATGAATTTCCAAAATTCTTAACCGATAATATTCGTTGTTGTTGTAATTTATGACTGTAATCAAATTTGTCAAACTTTTTTTTTTGCAAGTATTGTGATTTACAACATAATACACTAACAACTTGAATTATTATTATTTGACCAATAAAATTTCTGTTTTTGCGAATTTTCTATGAATGTTCTGGTATTTTTTGATTTGGAACATACAAGCGACGCGGAGTCTCGGTGAATAACTGATTTTATAGATCAGGTGTCAACCGCTATCTTTTTTATAGAATATCTGATGTAGCAAGTCTTCCATTCGTAAAAGAGTTTACTATCTATAGAGAAGATCTACAGTAGAAGAAGGTCTCCTATCTGTATAAAAAAGTTGGAGGTGTACTCATGTAGAATATGGTAATTTATGTATAGAAAACAGTTGCAATAGAATTTCTCCTATCTGTAGAAGAGCTGCTGAAGAAGGTCTTCTATTTGTAAAAAGGCTGCTGTATAATGTTTTCTATTTACAAAAGAGCTGCAGTAGAACACGGTCTACTATCTGCATATAATAGCTGCAGTAGAAGAAGGTCGGCTGTCTGCAAATCAGAGCTGCAGAAGGTCTCATATATAATCGTTTCTTCAGCTCTCCTATATATAAGTATATATTTTGTTCAATGCCGAGGTGTGGATTTTTTTTAAGGAATATTATGTAAGGTCCATCAATACCTAAAGAAGTAAAATTATTTCTTTAATTCCTACAATAGGATATATTTATATCCAAATGAGATTTTATAAGGATTATTTGTCCAAAGTGTGAATTTATATAGGAACTTTATTTTTCAAGGAGAATATTTTTTGAAGAATATTAAGCACTTTATAAAACAGGACGCATCGTATGGGTATTTTTTTTTCAAATACTTCTTCAGAGTCTACTGGAACGTGGCATTTTTTTTACATTTTCAGGGCATAGATTTTTATGTCTACAGGGCACCACGGATCATTTTCAATTTTAAATATTTTTTTAAAGACCCATCGAAGTATGGCTTTCTTGTGAATGAATAGCATAGATATTTTAATGCATATTTCTTCAAGGCCCATTGTAGCATAGATTTTCGAATGGATATCAAGATACTTCGTGGGAATATTTTATTTGAATACCACCTCAAGGCATTTTTTATTTTATTCAGAGGAAACCATTTTCTAAAAATGTTCAAGGCCCACCGGAGTGAAAATAAGTATTTTCTCAATGTCGGCCAGCGTTTTTTTTTATTGGAAAAATTTCGAAGGTACATCGAAGTATAGATTGGATTTTGTTCAAGGCCCATCGGAGTGAAATTAAGTATTTTCTCAATGTCGGACAGCGTTTTTTTTATTGAAAATTTTTCGAAGATGCATCGAAGTATAGATTGGATATTTTTGCAAGGCCATCTGAATGTGGATTTTTTTTATTTTATTTTAGACCCATTAGATCACAAATTTTTAGAGGATATTAAGGTACATTCGAGCGTAGATATTATAATGAAGGAATTCTAAAGGAATATTTTTTGAAGCCCATACACGTACTGGACGTCGATGTTCAGATTGTATTTTGTAAAGATTACCTTGTTCAGAGCCTATCAAGAAATAAATGTTTGAATAATTTTAAGGAATATTTTTCGTTAAGGCCCCATTCACGCCCAATCGAAATATGGGTTCCTTATGAATATTTTTTTTGGATTCCCAGCTTAATATGTTTTTTTATCAATATTTGTTACGGATATCAAGGCCCATCCACGCTCAAAGAATATAATTTATTCAAAAGGTTTATCAAGACTCATTGGAACCTTGAAATGTATATCAGATCGTGGGCATTTTAAAAATTAATTTTTAAAGGTATAGAAGTGTGAATTTTTTATTTAATATATTTTCGAGCTCCCCATCAGAGTGCGGTTTTTTAAGGAACACTTTTACGGCTGTTTATATATATTTTCCAAGTTCATTGTATAGTAATTATATACGGACATAAAAAGTTCTCCTGAATCTCACGTGTTTTTAATATTTCAAGGCCCATCGAACCGTAGAAATAGTTAATCAATTTTTCACAAGGCCTATCTGCATGTGTGTGTTTTTGTAACAGCCTACAACAGCGTATATAATCCAGAGCCTGAGTTTTTTAATAACTGTCTTTTCAAGCCCATCTAAGCCAAGATGTTTCTTCCCTATTGTTTTCAAAACATTTTTGTTTTGGATTTTTACGAATTTCTTTAGATTTTGGAAAAAAAATTTTTTTACATTGATTGTTCAAATAATAAGTTTTCATGCACCTGATTGTAAGAAATTCCGTCAAAAGAAGGTTTTCAATTACTTTTGTGTCTTTTCAAAAATATTGTATCCATAGAAAACTTATTTTCTCTAATAAAAAATTTGTATAATTCCAAAAAATAAGACAAAAATGTTTCTTTATAAATTTTAGCTTTATTTGAAATAACACTTCAATCTATTTCAAAAAAGGTAAACCTTTCATATCGTTTTCATCATCACAATTTAATAAGAGATACCAGTATTGGATTTGATCCAATCCAAGTAGCTGGTCACACGGGTGAAAGCAGCTGGGTATCCCTTGGCACAGCCAGCAGAAGAACCGAAAGAGGTCAAACCAACTTGAACCTTGGAGGATTCCAAAACCAATGGGCCACCAGAATCACCATTGCAGGTGGAGACACCACCGGGTGTGGCAACGCAAATGTTGGTTGAGGTAACAATGGAGCTACCATAGGTTTGAGCACAGACAGAGTTGGTGATGATTTGCATGCGGGCCCATTGCAAGTTGTTGGTAACACCGCTGGCAGAGTCAGAGATACGGCCCCAACCGGAAGCGATGGCATAATCACCGGCATAGGTAGAGTAAGAGCTGGCGATGGCGGGCAATTTAACGGCCTGGATGCGGCTAGTGTAGCTGACAGAGGGGATCTTGATCAAGGAGATGTCGTTCTTAACAGTGGCGCTATTCCAGCCAGAGTGGATGATAATGTCGCTCTTGGAAACGGTATAGGTGACTTCAGCGGAGGTACGAACAGTGGCGCCCAAGTAGACGGTGACGGATTGGATGCTAAAATAAAAGGATATTAATTTTTATGAAAAAAAAACAAACAAGTTAGAAAAACAATATCCTTACCCATCGGTACAGTGAGCAGCGGTCAAAACCCAACGGTTACCAATCAAGGAACCACCACACCAGGATGAAGAGAGAGCATTAATTTTCAAGGATAAACCAACTTGATAGGGAAATTGTCCAACGGTGGCGGTGTTGCCGTTGGTAATGCGGCCCTCGGTTTCAACAACGGGCATGATGACATCACGAGATTCCACATATTCGGATCTCAAGTCAAAGGCTGAGGCGGTGGCCAAAGCCAAGGCAAAAACGATGAAGAATTTCATGTTGCTGCTGTGATACAACTGATAATAGTTGTAACTATTCCCAAGCTTTTATAGTCCAAATGGTCAAACATTTTGATTTTTAATATCTTATCGCCCATAGGATTCAGTACTTTGAAGAGTGCCTTAAATTGACAATAAATAGTGGGGCAACTATTTTCTTATCACTGACAGGAAAAACCATTGATTTATTTTTTACTTTTCTACGCAGTTAATAATGTGAAATTATCATTATCATACTTTTTTATTTGTTGCAAATTCTTTTGGCTGCTTTATATCGTCGATTTATATGTGATAATGGTGTATTATTTTATGAAATTACCAGACGTTAAAGGTCGAAACCCATTTTTAATTTTCAGCACTTTTTTAGAATTTTCTTTTCAAATTGTAGTATTTCCTAGAACTCTCAGAATGGGTATTTTTTGATGGTCATATAATTGTAGATGTTTTTCAAGGGCTATCAAAGATTTAATTTACCAAGAATTGTCTTCAAAAGGCTAGGACATTCTTTCGTCACATTGGTTTTTCCTGACAGTGATAACAAAGTAGTTACCACCAAACACGTTTCAAACTGTCCTATAGGCGATAAGATTTTAGCAGCCAAAAATTTTGGTCTGATGGACTATAAAAGTTGTAGGAATTGTTACAGCAATTATCAAATATATCAAAGCAGTAACATGAAATTCTTCGTAATTTTTGCCTTGGCTCTGGCCACTACATCAGCTTTTGATTTAAGATCCGAATATGTGGAATCCCGCGATGTGATCATGCCCGTTGTTGAAACCGAGGGCCGTATTACCAACGGCAACACCACTGCTATAGGACAATTCCCCTATCAAGTTGGTCTGTCCTTGAAAAAGAATGCTCTGTCTTCATCCTGGTGGGGTGGTTCCTTGATTGGTAACCGTTGGGTTTTGACCGCTGCTCACTGTACTGATGGGTAAGAAATTTTTTTCTAAGTTTTATTGTATTTCATATAAAAAATAATAATATGCTTTTATTGTAGTGTCAAATCTGTTAACGTCTACCTGGGCGCCACCGTTCGTACCTCCGCTGAAGTCACCTATACCGTTCCCAAGAGTTACATCATTATCCACTCTGAATGAGACAGTAAGACCGTTAAGAACGATATCTCTCTCATTAAAATCCCCTCTGTCAGCTACACCAGCCGCATTCAACCTGTTCGATTGCCCGCCATCTCCAGCACCTACTCCACCTATGTCGGTGAATACGTTATCGCTTCCGGTTGGGGCCGCATCTCTGACTCTACCACCAGTGTCACCAACAACTTGCAATGGGCCCGTTTACAAATAATTTCCAATACTGTCTGTGCTCGAACCTATGGTAGCTCCATTGTTACCTCGTCCAACATTTGCGTTGCCACCCCCGATGGTGTCTCTACCTGCAAAGGTGATTCTGGCGGTCCTTTGGTTTTGGAATCTTCCAAGGTTCAAATTGGTTTGACTTCATTCGGTGCTGCTGACGGTTGTGCCCTGGGCTACCCAGCTGCTTTCACCCGTTTGACCAGCTATTTGGATTGGATCGAATCCAATACTGGTATCGCCTATTAAATGGATTAGTCGAACGATTTATTGGTATTTTAAATAAAGTATAAAATTGAAAGAATTTCCATTTTTGTATTGTTTTGAAATATAAAGTGTTGAATGAGGGGAGTTTTTAAATTATTTTTATTTTATTATTTTTTCAAGTCCTCTAAGAATATGAGGTATCAATTAATTATTTCAAGGTATTTTTTCGGTTCTTATTAGAAAATGAAATTTTTTAAATATGTCTCTATTATTGACCGATCGATTTTGCATATTTTCCTTGCTAAAGATGTTTAGTGAAAATGGCTTCTGAATACCCAATCGCTCCTCATTCCATCGCGTGTTGCTCTCAGAAGTGATGGTGTTTTTTTTTTAATTTTTCATTCTCCATGACATTGATTGTATTTCCAAACACCCGTATTACAAACTGAAGTCGTCAAAATTTGCATAAATTTTCTTTGATTTTCAGCTGGCCGGCCATATTATCATCCATCCTCCAGCTCACAACAATCGGATCGATTGCGTGTTTGCCGGATAGATGGTGTTTTGCTTTTCTTGACGCCAACTCTTGAAAAAGAAATTGTTGATGTTATACATATTGTTGTTGTTATTGTTGTCGATATACTTATATGTGGTTGTTGTTATTGTAGCCTCTTTGCTTGACCCAAATTTTAATTAATTTATCAATCGTCCATGAATTGCATGAATTACTTATTTATAAACAATTATTAATTTCTCTTTCTTTTCGTTTCTTTTGCAGGCGTTTAGTGAAAAATTATCAGCCTAAGAAAAAAGAAGAAGAAGATAACGAGTAAGTACTATATAATTAAAATAAATAAATATAAAAAACTAAACATGTTTTTACTTTTAAACACCAAGTCATATATAATCGAAATATTGTAATATTGTATGAGGCTGGGTGTACATGTGTATTAATATGTAGAAACCCCAATAATGTGTACTCTGTGAAAAGAATAACACCTGCAGGTCTTCAATATTAAAAAAAATGTTTTACGAATCTGCACTTCTTAAAGAGATATTTCTTCTTGAAGAAGGGTCTCCTTCTTCCTTCTCCTTATCGCGGAAGGTATTAACATATATTCAGTACGTGCCCCATAAATAGAAGACACCTAAATATGGATTTTGTAGACTTGACATTTTTATGGGTCGTTCAATTGGAATTATGAGGGTCTTCTTTCATTGAAAACATTGACGAAGTCTTCTATAGACTTATGGCTTCCAACAGAATCTTATACAGGTCTTTTAAAAATATCAAATTATCAGACTTTATACAGAACCTCTAAACATACATTGTCTTGTACATATCTCCTATTGACCTTCTACAAGTCAATATATAGCAGAAAACGAGGTCTGTTATTGATCATCTTATGGTAAAGAAAATCTATTGCAGATTTTCAACCATTAGACCCTTGAACATTTTTTGTCTTATAGTCTATAAGATCATCACAGCCTTTCTCAGCAGATTTTCTCTAGTCAAAAGATTTTTTGCAGGTCTTCGACAGAAAGTTGTATAGGTCTTTTAGAACCATCTGCAGTTGATATTTTAAAAGCCCTCACCCGCTTTTTGTAGTAAAAATATGACAAACAAAGACACTCACATTGCTTAAAATTTGTCTTCTTTAAATCTCTAATAATCTCATGCTCTTCTCCTTCTTTCCTTTAGATTCACATCATGGCAAGCTTTCCGTAAAGTTCTCAATGAAATCAGTGACTTGGCTGGACAACGGGAAGTTGTTGCTGAATCCCTGCAATTACAAATTATACAAGGCATTTCATTGCTGTCCAAAACTCTGCGGGAAGAGCGAAAAGTAAGTATCATAAATTTCTTGTTCTCTCCCTCCCACCCTCTCTTACCTTATATTCATTTCTATTCTCTCTTTTTGCAGAAATGCCTCTCCAATGGTACAATTTTACATCAAAACCTCACCACACAACTGGCTGCATTGGAACGGGCCAAACGTAACTATGAGAAAGCTTATCGTGATTCGGAAAAAGCTGTCGAAAACTACAAAAAGGCTGATATGGATCTGAATTTAAGTCGAGCTGAGGTCGAACGTTACAAGAACATTATGACAGCCAAAATACAACAGTCAGACGATGCAAAGAATGAATATGCCAATCAATTGCAGAAATCAAATAATTTACAACAACAGCATTATCATGAACTATTACCGGAGGTAAGTAAAGGATACTCCACCTAATTCAGAATATTTGATAAATATTTGTTTCCCCTTTTAGGTATTTAATCGACTGCAAGAATTGGATGAAAAACGCACCCGAGGTATACGGGAATTTATTATTGGTGCTGCCGATGTTGAATCCTCTGTTGCACCCATAATAGCCCGGTGTCTGGAGGGTATGGTAAAGGCCGGCGAATCAATCAATGAAAAAGAAGATTCATATAAGGTTATCGAAAGGTTAGTAAAATGAAATTTAAATGCAAACATTGTTGATGGAAGAAAAAAACTGATATTACCGTGTAAAGAATGTGGAAAAAATGTCCATTCTCTTAGAACCCATTTTACCATTCTTGTGCCTGAATCTTGAATAAATATTTCTCTTGTAGTTTCAAATGTAATTTGTATTTTATTTTACAGATATCAATCTGGTTTCACACCACCAGGCGATATACCTTTCGAGGATTTGTCAAAAATGGATACTCTTGATACATCGCAAGAATCCCATTATAATCATGTACAGTCGAGTCATTTAACTGTTAAGGGTACCATAAGTGCTAATAAAATTAAGAAGCGAGTGGGGATATTCAATATTTTTGGCAGTAATAAGGTAAGTTAATGTTTTCACTTTTCAATTATTTTTGTATTTGTTTTTGATGTTTTGTTTGTTATCATTTAGCATTTTTTATATGAGTTCCATTGTATTGTATTTACAAAATAGGTAATACTAATAATGTAAACAATTTTCCGATATTTTTTTAAGAGTAGTTTGGCGAGAATATTCAAAATAGGTCCATGTTTTATAATTAATAATAATATTTATAAAATTAATAATAATAATTAATAATAATTTATAATTAAACATGTTTATGACATATTTTTAATTTTAAATTATTTATAAAAAATGTGCTCTGAAAATTGGGAAATATTTCGGTAAAATATTCAATATAGGTCCATGTTTTGACATAGGCCCAATAGATTTTATTAGACATTTTCATTTTACATTTTATTGTTCGCATTAGTCTTCACTTATTTACGAAATAGGTAATACTAATAATGTAAACAATTATCCGATATTTTTTAAGAGTAGATTGGCAACAATATTCAATATAGGTCCATGTTTTATGATTAATACAAATGAAGTAAACATGTTTATGACATATTTTTAATTTTAAATTATTTTAAAAAAAAGTTCTCTGAAAATTCGGAAATATTTCTGTAAAATATTCAATATAAGTCCATGTTTTGTCATAGGCCCAATAGTAAGGTCTCAGATTTTATTAGACATTTTCATTTTATTGTTCGCATTATTCTTCACCTAAAAAGCATCAATTTCTGCTTCCCAGTAAGCATTTCTTATGATCTGAGCTAGAAGACTGATAATATTGAAGGTTAGGGTCTATTAAAATCATATACATTTAATACTACTATTAGGGTCTATGTGTCAGGACGGGGACTATCTATTAAGCTGTTATTTTTCTTAAGAGAACACAACAGGCCTGCTCTGACTACTATTAGGGTCTATGTGTCAGGACGGGGACTATTTATTAAGCTGATATTTTTGTTAAGAGAACACAACAGGCCTGCTCTGGCTACTGAACAATTTACTTAGACAAATGTAAATGAAACGCCTCTCTCGTTCAACTCAATATGAATAACAGTATGACCCTTGTTTAGGATAATTTCTATCCAGCTTTACTGATAGCTTCTTCTATCCAATTCATATTCGAATAGCTCCAGATTTAACTTTAGCTATCATATATAGTTAGTCAGATTTAATATTAATGGATTCTTGATCGTTGCTATTTCTGTTAGATAAATTGATTTTTTTCACATTTTTTTTTCATATTTTGAATTAATAGCTTTAAATCTAGAAATGTCTGATAATTTTTTATTATACTATTATTATGGGTAATAATATAAATCCAGAGAGATTTTCTTCCGCATTTAACCAAAGTGGGTTGTGTAGGTCTTTCGACTTTTATCATTTCCTTACTGTCAACTTCTTAATCTATACAATGGAACAATATAAACAAATGCTTTATGTAGTAGTTAGTTAAATGTGTTTTTGTTTATTTAAAATTATATATAAAATTTATTTTCAAAAACAAACAGTTTGTGCAAATTTTGAAAAAAAAAAAATACAATTTATTTATGTTTAGTTTCTTACTTTAATTCAAATACTTATAAAGTCTTATGTGCTTTTATTTTTTTTTCTTTCTTTTACTCTTTATGTTTTCGGCGTATCTTTTGTACAATTTTTGTTGTGTATTTTTCTTCATTTTCTGTTGTGTTGTTTTTACATAAAACATTGTCGATCGATGCATTTCTTCTCAAATGCATTCTTTTCTTCTCATACCAAAACAAAAAAAATCTACATTTTCTTCGCCTTGTCGTCGAATACATTCTTTACTCATCAAATGGACGACGTTTCATTTCGCAAAAAAATTATTACCACTTACTTTTACTTTACATTTAATGTAAGTACAAACTACAATCAATCAATTTAAAAAAAGAAAATGTGTAAATTCATTCATTACAATTTCTATGTTTTTTCTTGTCCTAATTGTCTCACATTTTTTTCCATCCGAGTCCTCAAATATCCTCCGTTTTTTGTTCTGCATCAGTTTTTTGGTTTGAGCTTTGATATCATCATCAATTCGAATAACAATAAATTGGCTTCCATTTATTTATTATGTTACTACTTTCAAATTAAATGTTTATTTTCTCCTCAACTGTTGAATGTTATTCCATGTCCAATTAATTGTTTTTTTTTCACATCCATCCAATTCATAATTACTGTTTGTTATTATGTTTTTTAATAATTTGTGTATGTAAACATTATTACTTGATTACCGTACATAATATATAAAACATACATAGTCATTTGTAATCAACATTATATATCATACATTCATATACTACATATCATATATATTTAAATAAATTAATTTTGCCCTTTTTATATAAAATATGCTAATTCCCAATTTTTTAGCTTTTAGTCCATAGTCAGTTTTTGTTTTACTTTGATACACCAGACCCCTTATCTTGAAGAAGTTGTAGAAGATTATTTCATCAAAAACGCCTAGTTTGCTCCATGTCTAATAAATTGTCGCTATTTTAAAAGCCCATAAATATCACAGCTGGATTTTTATATATCCTCATGATGGATGGTATAAAAATTTAGACCGAACATAACGAAAAATACATTGGTTATGAACTTCGTTGTGTCTCTCATTTATTGTTTCTATTTCATTTCGTTATCCATTGTTTTTGTCTATAATTTGAATGTTAACTCAACAAAAACAATCATTTTGTTTGTAGAAAAATTTCATTTAAAATTACAAATTTAGAAAATATGGAATACCATTTATCAAAACGTTGATTATTATAGAAGAAATTTGAACCATAATAGAAACATATCTACAGACAAAATGTAATCTTAAGATCTTCTATTAAATAGACACCAGACATATCTTTATGACTGTATAATACCTTTTTAAGAATTTCTGTAGGCTTTGAAGGCTTTCTGTAGATATGGAAGTCTTCTATATATAGAAAATCTTTTGAAGGTCTTCTATATAAAGAAAATCATTTTAAGAAGAAGACCTTATTTTAGTGTTCCATAGACAGAATACCTTCAAATGGTTTTCTATGGAGAGAATATTTTTAAAGGCCTTCTATGGACAGAAGTCCTTCTAAAGGCTGTTCTAATAGACATATTTTTCTAATGACCTTGTGAAAGACCTGTCAGACAGAAGATATTTTAAAGGTATTCTTTTATATGTAGAATATCTTCTAGACAGGCATAACAATTTTCTTTGCAAAAATAAAATTAATCCTGCTTATTTTCGTTATTGTATTATATTTTTTTTAATAATTGTTATTTTTTGCAATATTGAATTTTCTTTACATTTATTTATTTTTTTTCAAAATCACAAACGTTTGTTATGCTTTTTACCTTATATTGGCTAATAAACTTTAGTTATACGCTTCTTTAAATGCTTATTGGCTTAAAATCAAAATTTCTTTTCTGTCATTTACACCACACACCCACACACAAAAAACACAAACAAATCTATCTTTCATCGGTAATCATCATCATCATCGTCATCAACAAACATACAATTACCCCAAACGCAAAACAATTTGATTTTTCTTAAAAACAACTAAAAATTGTTTTCATTAAACAAAAAATCAAAATTCAAAAAAAAAAAATGCTTTTGCTTTGATTTTCTAACCTGCAAAACAAACCAAACAAAAAATGTGATACAAATTCAAAAATTCTCTCTGTAACAGCAACAGAAGATTATTGAAGCCTGTATCACGATGAAGGTATGACACGACTAACAATTAAATACAACAAAAATATATATTTTAATAAATATGGAATATAAAATAAATACAAATATTAATACAGTCAAACAGAGTCATATATTCCAGAATAATTTATTACCATTATGGGCTCTGTTTGTCTGCAGTTATTAACAACATTTTTTATTTATTATTTGTTTTTGTTGTAAATTAAATATGTACACTGTAAAAATCACAATTTTAACACGCTATAAACATAGTCACTTTTCTTTAAATATTAAAAAAAAAAAAAAACAAAAGTGTTAGTCTTAGAGATAGATCACAGTTCTCAATTTCAAATACTCACCTTAACCCCACGTCGTTTTTTATGTTTTTTTTTTTCATACATTCATTTGCAAATTGTTGAAAAACTTTTTTTCAAATCATAATTTTTTTGGTTAACTACCCGATTTTTTATTTGTTTTAATTGTGTATTCCAAATTGTTGTATATGCATGATCTGTTTTCGTTTGTTCAAATAATCACAATGTGGTTGGTTAGTGGTTACTGAAGGCTTCAGATTATTAAATTACAAAGGCCTTTCTATAGGAGACTCAAACTCTCTTTTTATAAAATAAGAGATAAACGGCCTAAATGGGATTCCAATAGATGGAATAAATTGTTTCCTACAGAAGGCATAAACGGCTCTCATTTAGATATAAAAAGTCTTCCTATAGAATTCCCATTTGAAGACTAAGGCATCTACCTACAGAAGACCAAAGAAATCCACTTTTGTTGACATATGATTTTCAAAATTAGGCATCCTAACAATTACCTTCATTGACTGACCCACCAACCACTTATTTTGGCCTTGCCGTTTCTCTCGTTCATGTTGTTTTCGTTCTTGTTGTTCTCTAATGCACCAATAAATTTTATTTATTTCAATCATTCTTATTTACGCCTGCTTAAACCCTTTTATTAATTTATTATGTTTCTATATCCGTATTTCTATTCAGAATTCTCTAACTGCGGACGGACAAAAGGAAGATTTCAGTGATCTGCCACCCAATCAACGACGTAAAAAACTGCAAGCCAAAATTGCCGAACTACAACAGAAGATACAACAGGAAACGGCGGCACGTGACGGTCTCATGAAAATGAAAGTGGTCTATGAAGCCAATTCATCGTTGGGCAATCCCATGACCGTTGAGGGACAACTCAATGAATCCGAACACAAGCTGGAGAAATTAAAAATGGATTTGAAAAAATATCAAGGTTATTTGGAGAAAGCCAATCAAATACCCATTGCAAATAATAGCCCGCAAGCGAATCGTACACACAGTATGAACAATGGCCATCGATCGTCAAGGTAAGTATAAAATAGTTTTTTTTTTCACTTCCAGACTTGATCACAGTGGATGTTGGAGTTTGTTTAAGCAGGACTAACAAAGCGAAAACTTAGATTTTTAATGATAAATGAATTATTTATCTTTCTTTAGACAAGACTAGACATTACATCTAGATCTACAGATTGTCCAAAGGAGTCGTATAAGTCCACTTGCTTATTTTGTTTGTTAATCCAGCATTTACATTCTCACCTACAATTGTATTCAATTATCCGAATAATTTATATTTCTCACTCTCTATTTTTCTAGGCATTCCAACGGTAGTACCGAGGACAACAATTACGATGGTGATTTCCAACCAGACGATGCTGGTAGTTTAAGCAGGTCAGATTCTGAGGATAATGTGGCGCAAATTCAAAATGGCCATAATAATAACAATAACGGGTACACTCATAAGTCTCTTTTGATTGCAAAAAAATAACGATATTGTTTTTGTAGTTTGTTGTGTCTCTCATTTATTGTTTCTATTTCATTTCTATCATTTCGTATATCCATTGTTTTTGTCTATCATTTTCATGCAAACCCAAACGAAAACGATATTTTATTTTGGTAGCCGTTTTTATTGAAATTCCAATAATTCCATTTGAAATTGTAAATGTAGAACATTTGGGATTTTATTTATCAAAATTTTGACGGTTGTAAAAGAATCCTACAGTCTTACCTTCAGAAAGAATGTACTTGTGAGATTTTCTTGATAAATGTCTTTCTAAATGTCTGCAATAGACATAATAATTTTTTGACAGATGACCTTAGGTAGAATAGCTTTGGAAGTCTATTTTGGGGCCTGTTATGTATAGAAAATCTTTTGAATATAGAATATCAATTTAAGGCCTTCTATGGACGGAAGACTTCCCCTTAGGTTTCCATAAACAAATGATTTTCTATGGAGAGGAGTCCTTCTAAAGGTCTTCTATGAAAAAAGTCCTTTTAAAAGACTTCTTCCATAAGTAAAATACCTTCTGAACTGACACGACCTCAGTATTTCATTTGTGGTCTATATTAAAATTTTCATTTGAAAAATAAAATGTTTGTATGTTAAAAAATATTTAAAGGTTCTTAACAGATAGAATAGCTTCTAAAAATTTAATGATTTCAAAATGTGATGTAGAGACAGAAAACCTTTTATATGCAGAACTTTTTAGGACATTTACATGCAGATGAAGTGATTTGTAAATATATTTTATAAATATAATACCTTCTAAAGGTTTACACATTGAATAGATATTTTTTAAAAGCTGTTGGTAGCGAGAAAAACATGCATGGATTTTCTGCAGGCACAAAAAAAACTAAAAGTCTTTTAAAGACACTTGAATACATTCCTAATACCTTCTCATGGTCTTAAATATACAAACGGTCTTCTAATAGTCCTCCATATACAGGAGACCCTAAAAAGGTAACATTTTTTTAAACAGAATATATTTTAAAGCCTTCTTTTTTATGGTCCTATAAATGTCTTCTTTATGCTGAAGGCCAGAATATATTTTAAAGGTCTTGTTTAAAAATAACACTTCCTAAAGAATTTTTTTGACAAAATACCTTCTTTTGAAAGGTCTTCTATAGGCAGATCGTCTAAGGATATTTTAAGATTCTAACGATATTATATACACCTAAAAGGCCTAAAAATATTGCTGCAGAATCCGGAAGGTATTAAAATGTTATCTAAACATATAGAAAACCCCAATTATAAAATATTTATACAATACTTTTTTGAGAATGTTGTATAAATTAGATGTACAACCTATCAATACAATAAATGCTTTTAAATATAGTCCCACAAATTTCAAATGGAAATTATATTTTTCAAAAAAATTAAAATTGTATTTATTAAAAAGTTATAACATTCATGTACACAAACACCAATACACATAAATACTAATTAACGCATTTTAATTTCTGTTTTTGTAAAATTTCAATTATATTCGAAAAAAAGAACACAAAGACTTCAACGATTTCCCTACTCTTTTTGCCTTTCTTTACATGTTGAAATTTAGCAGTTCGGCAAGTCCTGAAAGTGGCTTGGGTACATCACACACATCATTGCCCGGTTCGGGACATGGTAGTACACACGAGAATGCAATGGGAGAAGATGCCTATTATGAAACAGAAATGGAACCTCTACAACCGCTAGGAACGTGTCGAGCTTTATATCCATTCGAAGGTAATATATATACAAAAATATTTTATTATTGAAAAATTTAATAATTGTAATTTTTTTGTACCCTTAGCCACAAGTGAAGGTAGCATACCCATGAGCGAAGGCGAAGAATTACAAGTGATTGAAATTGATCAAGGTGATGGTTGGACGCGTGTGCGTCGCATTAACAACACAAATGGCTGGGATGAAGGTTTTGTGCCCACAAGTTATATTGAATGTACACTATATGCTTAAGTCAACCAACACACACCCACAACAGTCTATACATATATTTATAAACATAAACTACTAATTTGCTAAATAAAATACGACAAGTATAATTCTATATATATTTAAAGAAAAAAAAAAACAAATACAACAAAACTACTATTATCATCAGAGAGAAAAACAAAAATTATTTTCGAAAAAAGTAATGAAAAAAATCATCAATTTTTACTTTCATTATTATACCATATAATGTATTTTTCATTTTATTTTCATTTTTTAGTTTTCCAGTTTTAATAATTATTTTAATTATTTACAAAGAAATAGTTTGTACCATTAAAACAATATTAGTATACTTTTGTTTTTTTATATATATATACAAATATAAATATTAATTACATGCCTATGTATACATAAATAGAACTATAAATAATATAATAATTTCTAAGAGCTTAAGTTGTATATTTTTAAAATGTTTTTCTTTTATGATTTCTTTTTTTATTTGTGTGTTTTATGAATGCATAGGGAATATGTTTCATTTTTTGGACAAAAGTAGTTTGATTTCACTTATATAAAGCGTTTTAATTTTTCTTTAGACATTTTTTCCTTGCTCCTTTGCCCGATAACATATTTCAGATCTAATTTTAAAGCTTTAAAATTCCATTAATAATTTTAGAACTAACTAAATGACAGACTAAAAACATATATAGTTTTAGATGAGTTCTGGAATGCCCTCTGTATTAAAAATTCTTTTAAATGTCTTTTATGGATGATTATTTGTAAAAAAAATATGCAGTGTCTTACATCTACAGATGAAGACTTCAAATATTCATCTATATAATTATTAACACTTATATTCACAAGACTTCTGGAAGCAGATGTGTTTGTTCAGAACACCTCCACAAGCTTATCTATTTCTTAAGAAAATTTCCAGATGACCTGTGTGTAGGAAGTTTTATATTCCTGAAGGAGAAACAAAAAAATACGAAAGCCATCAATGGCATGAAAATCATGATGTTGTTCTTGGCTGTGATTGTCTTGGGTCGAGTAGAATTCAGATCATAGCATAAAATGCCATGGGAATGTATTTTGCTTCAGATATGGTTTTTAGGTGCTCAATCTTCAAAATTTGCAGTAGTCTTTTATTGTTGTGGTTTCAACAAGGCTCATGTGGTTTATGTACCATTTCCTTAATAAAACACAATTTTGTATCTCTCCAAATCTTGTTTATACGATATTGTATAAAAAGAAAAATATCGTCAAATTTTAAATACATTTTTTAAAATGATTTGAACTGAAATATTGTTTCCGGTGCAATAGTTTTGTTTTCGGTATTCAATTTCTCCGCTTTCTAATTTGTTAAGAAAAAACTATTTTTTAATAAAAAAAACAGGAATAAATATTTGTGAAATAAAAATATAAACTGAAAAGCTTTCACTTACAAAAAAAAAAACAGAACGTTTCAATCTACACCCACACTCTAACTAACGTCTATATCAATATTGACCTGAAACCTATAATGAAATCAATCCAAATATTAAGAAAATAACAAAAAATACAATTTTACAAAATACAAAAACTGTGTGCACATAAAATATTCAAATATGTTAGAAACAAACTAATACGAAAAAATAAATACATTAATATAAAAGTAATTAAATGGGAAACTATTTATTAATAATTACATTTTCTTTCATCAAATTTTTATTAAATTTTAAATAACAATTTGCATTTGTAATATTTTGCTACTATTTTTAAAAAAACAATATATTTTGAAATTGTCCGATTTTTAAGAAGAAGAAGAATGAATACCACTGCCAGTTATGCCAATGATAATATTTTGAATTTGATTTGAACATATATCTCCAAATGTCCCTTATTACTACAATATTTTAGTGGCTGGAAAATCAAGAAAATCAAGCATCAAAGATATTATTGTCAAAATTTAAAAATAATAAAATCCGGATACATAATTCCAATAATTTTTGTATAAAATTATGTAGCGAGTTTTGTACCAAGACATTTGAAAAAAAAGAAATTTAAAACATACGCAAAATAAAAGGCAATGATTCGAGTGCGCATTATTTTTTAATTCCCTGAAATATTTGATTAACTACTTGTCTCTCTTACTCGGATTGTCTTTGTATAGACTCCTCAGATACCTTTTCTTACATTCTATCTATATTTTCTCTCTCTATACAGCGCTTTATTTAATTTATTATTTTTGTTTCAAGCGTGTTTATAAGAAAATGTATAAAAGTTGAATAATTTAAGTATTTTTTTTTTTCTTTTGGTTTGTCCATTTAAATAGCCCTCCTATTTTTGTCTTTAATATAGTTAAGTTAGTATTAAGTTTATATAATAAGTTGTAAGTCAACGAGTTTTTTTTAATATTAAACAAACTTAATTTAGTCTTTGTTGTTTGACTTGTGAAACATGGAATGAAAAAAAAAATGATATAACAACAAAAATTGCTTGAACTAGTTTTATCTTATGACTTTAATTAATTTTTTAATTTAAATAATAATAATTTTTATATGTCTACATTTAATATATAAACAAACGCCAACAAAATATTTTAATATTCTTTTCTAAAACAAGAAAAAACAAAAATGAAAAAAATCCCCTTTTTAACAACGTAAAAAAATTCCCCCAATTGCTTAGCTTGAAACTGGCATTTTGTTTACTTTTTTAAATAGCTTAATTAATTTTTATTACTTCCTTAGCATTAAAACCATGAAATATGTTGCCTTTATCCTTTTTTTATATATACTTGACTTTATATATAAAAAATAATAAACCAATTAATATTAGTATATATAATATGTATAACTAAATATTTGTATATTTATAATATTATTTTTATAATAATTTGATTTGCTATTTTTCAAAACTTTTTCCCTACAACACTAACAAAAAACCAACACACATTCATAAAAGTTGAAAAATAAACTAAATAATAATCATTAAACATTTATATACATAAAAAGAAAAACAATTTTGAAAAGCAAGGAAATCGGAAAGATGACAAGTATCTTTGGATACAGAAATAAAAACCCACACATTCACAGACATACCCACATCCTTTTACATAAATATTATTAACTAATGAATGAATGAATAACCAATATATTCAAATAATTATAATATATTCTGTATTAAAACATCAAAAAGAAGAAGAATTATTATATAATATTTAAAAAGTAAATCGATAAAGGAGAATTTACACAATGCTGCAATTATTATATAAACAATTAAAACAAGTGAATGAAAAAGAGAAAAATCAATGATGATGACAATGTGTATGAAACGATTACAAAAAAATAAAAGTGAAAAAAAAATTATTAAAAATGTACTTTTTTTATTTTAAATGGGTCAAATCTACCCTAAGTAGATTAGGGATAATGAGAGCTGTATTAGTTCAAAATGTGTACCAATCAAAGCTTGAACATGAAATACTCGTCATATTTATGAGCTTCTAAAAATTAATGGATAGGAAACAAATATTAAACGAAATCCCAGCGGAAGAAACCATTAATAAAATTCTTTAAAAATTCACGATTTTGAGTCTATAGGTGGTCAAAAATTTTTCTTTAACAATTTACGTTTTTGAGTCTATAGAGGGTAAAAAAAAAATTCTTTACAAATTCGCGTTTATGAGTCTATACAGGGACGAACAAAATTCTTTAAAAAATTCCCTTAATTGGTTCTTTAAATGGTCTAACAAATTCTTTTCAATTTTCCCTTTTTCGAGTCTATAGAAGGTCGAATAAAATTCTTTAAAAAAATCCACGCTAATGTGTTCATAGATGACCGAATAAAATTCTTTAAAAAAAATCCACGCTAATGGGTTCTTAAATGACCGAATAAAATTTAAAAAAAATCCATGCTTATGGGTCCATATCTATGGACCGTATAGAATTCTTTAAAACATATAGGCCCATAGATGGTCGAATGAAATTCTTTAAAATTCTCCCTTATGGATGTATGAAGGATTGAATGATAGCAGGTGTAATAAGTGAAATTGTGGGTAGAAATTTATTCAGATACAGGCAGGGGTTGATTATTTAAACAAATAAAATATAATTTTCCGAGATTTTGAAAACTAATTTATTTTGTAAACAAGTAACTTAAAGGGTGGTATTTATTAAGGGTGGTATTTATTTACCAGCACAATAAAAATTTTAAAAATTTAAAATCGAGAATGGGGGAAGTCCCCTTAATAAGAGATCCCAGTATTAGTCTTAATCCAATCCAAATAGCTGGTCAAACGGGTGAAAGCAACTGGGTAACCCTTGGCACAACCGGCAGCAGCACCGAATGAAGTCAAACCAATTTGAATCTTAGAGGATTCCAAAACCAATGGACCGCCAGAATCACCATTGCAGGTGGAGATACCACCGGTGGTGGCAACGCAGATATTGGAACCGGTAACAACTAAACTACCATAAGTTTTTGCACAGACCGTGTTGGGGTGGATTTGCATGCGAGCCCATTGTAAGTTGTTGGTAACGTCGGTGGCAGAGTCAGAAATACGGCCCCAACCAGAAGCGATGGCATAATCACCGACATATGAAGAGTAGAAGCTGGCAATGGCGGGAATCTGGACAGGTTGGATGCGGCTAGTGTAGCTGACGGCGGGGATGCGGATCAAAGAGATATCGTTTTTCAAGGTATTTGCAGTCCACCCGGAGTGGATGATGATGTCGCTGCTGGAAACGGTGTAGGTGACTTCAGCGGAGGTACGAACGGTGGCGCCCAAGTAGACAGTTACGGAGGAGATACTGTACACCAAAAACAAAAAAGGAAATAAATTGATATTTTAGAGAAAATCTTTTAAAAATTACCCATCGGTACAGTGAGCAGCAGTCAAAACCCAGTTGTTGCCAATCAAAGAACCACCACACCAGGCCGAGGAGAAAGCACTAATCTTCAAGGATAGACCAACCTGATAGGGGAATTGGCCAACGGTAGCGGTATTGCCATTGGTAATACGACCCTCACCTTCGATGACGGGTACAACCAAATCGCGTTGGATAATTTCCCCAGCGGAGACGGCGGCCAAGGCCAATGCAAAAACTATTAACAATTTCATGGTGCTACTACTATACAAATACAACTGCTGGTGTAACCCATCATCGATCATACCTTTATAGTAATATGTTAACTTATCATATTAAAACTTTTCTTATCACACACTTGTAGAGGAAATGTTCGACGCGTGCCAAGCCTCTAATATTGTGGCCACATATGGATTATGGGAAATGTCAATTTATTTGTAATCTCCCGTTTTTTATTTATCTATTGCCATTGATGTGGTATAAAAAATATAATATAACCGAGATTTATTAAAAAATAAACAAATTCCAGGAAATCGAAAATAAATTGATAATGGGCAAATGCCACTGTCTATAATACTTGTTGGACAATATTATACAGCTTAACAATACTTCCATGTAACAGGGATAGGATACTTATTGTTATTGTTAGAGCTAAATTGTATAACTTTGATTTATTATTCCAATCGTAATAATAAATCAGTATTTGTGGTTATAGTTTTTATGAAATCAGTTTTTAGAAAATAAAATATATAGGACGAAACAAAACATATGATGAGAGTATTTATTTGTCGGCAACACCGAGTGACAGTTTTTTTTACTTGTTTTTTTTTTATATTACTTGAAACTCTTAGCCCAACACAGTCTTTTTTTATTCAACTGATTTTGCAGTTTTTATTTCGGATTGCAACTCCGATCATGTAGCTCATATCCAAAGAGAAAATAATAAAAAACATTTACATGAACTCAAAAATTCAGCTTGAGCCCGTCTGGGATTTGAACCCTGGTTCCGTTCCCATGGCATCTGTTGATGTCCGGCGCCTTAGCGTTCAAAGCCACCTCCTTATCTTCCTAAAGTTACACAATATGCAGTTGCATACCATTGAAGAAAAATATTGTAGTCTGTATGGAAAAAAAGTGCGTCACTACAAGAAAAATCTGCTCTGAAAAGGAATGTTCTGGTGTGATGCCAAATGTCCGAACCTTGACCTAACAAACTGAAAGATTAGAAACCATCGAATGTTGAATTCAATTGAAAGCGTATGTTTTTAAGATTAAAGTGCAAGAGCAAGTCCAAAACTTATTTGTTATTATATATATACATATATAATTATACATATATATATATATATATATATATATATATATACATATATATATATATATATGCGTGTGTTTTTCGTTTAAAGTTCTAACTAAAACAGATAGCGATATTAATGTTTAATCACATATAATATACGAGGTCTGATCAAAAAAGACTCGTTTAGGTCTGATAAATTTTTTATTAATAACTAAGTGTATTGTCCCCTTGAAGGGAATCCACATAAAAAACACCGATTTGAGAAAAACGAGTTCTTGTGATTTTCTCGGAACATTCCAAAAAGGAATTAAATAAAAACAAAACATCAATTTTTGTTACCATGAAGGGTGGGGCCCTTTAAAGTAACTCCCACTTAGGCGAATATTTTATTTAATCCTCGAAACACTTCTTTTTGGTTTAACCAACAGCTCCTCTTTCTATTTTTCTTTCAATTGTAACAAACGTTAATTACATTTTTGCAAATTTTTGGAGAAATCGTAATATCGAATTTAGAAAAAACTTTGTCATGCGACTCAGTTTGGAAGTTTTGAATAGTACCTTTAATGGAGAATATACAAAATTATTGCTCATTTTTTTTAAATTTATTGCCAAATCTGTAATCTTGGAAAAAATCCTAAATGCCGGCCTATAGTCATATGGCTTATCAAAATAGCGTAAATTGGGCGGGATCTATATATACACTCCAAATCGTTTTCAATGGCGGTTTAAAAAATTATCAACAGCCAATTTCGATAGATTGTATTTAAATGGCTGAAGAATAATAAAGCACCGAATGCGGATGGATTACCAGCTGCGCTATTCAAGACCGGTGGTCAGAGGCTGATCGGGAGAATGTACCAACTGATTGGTACAATTTGGACAGAGGAATGTATGCCCCATGATTGGAATCTCAGCAACCAGTGTCCCGTGCACAAAATGGATACAATGAAATAAAAGGAATTATAGAGGAATTAGTTTCCTTCCTATCGCATATAAAGTGCTATGACATTATTCGACCATACCAATGCGGCTTAAGATCTGGCAAATTCACCATAGAACAGATTTTCAAAGTGCGCCAAATTCAGGAAATGACTCACGAAAAAAACATCAACACATTCCATCTATTTGTGGAATATAAAGCCGAATTCGGCAGCTCAATCCGCTCAGAGGTATTTATAGCCATGTGAGCGTTCTGCAAAATTAATACGGCTATGCAGGATAACTTCAACTGGCACAAGGTCAGCAATTAAAGTCGGAGATGACCTCACGGATCCATTTAATACCGAACGAGGATTCAGATGTGCTGATGTATTGATCTGAAGCATGCGTACTTGCGCAAACAGAAGAGGCAGTTCTTAGAGTGTTTGAAGGTCTGATCTGCGTCGAATAAGTTACTCCATCTATTCTCGGACATCGAAATAGTGAAACGTATCATGCTGCATATGAAAGCGAGGCATCTGATGGTTCACATCTAGGGATAAGTAAATCGACTTTCGACTAATCGATTAATCGACTTTTTGCATTGAAAAGTCTAAAAGTCGAAGTCGACTTGTGGTCTATGAGAAAATCGTAAAGACGACTTCCGATTTTCTTCAAAAATACTAGGTTTTTTATCACATAGCTCAATTTGCCCAAAAATTTCACTTTCCAGAACTTTACATTATCTGTTCACAATAATTGATATAAAAAGTCAAATTTTTTAGTCGATTTTGCAGAAGTCAGTAAAAGTCGAAAATCGATTTTGAACAGTTTTGACAAAATTGAAAAATCTACTTTTTAGTCAAAGGCAAAAATCGAAAAGTCTAAAAGTCGACTTTTGCACTCGACTACGTATCCCTATTCACATCTTGGAACACGGTCTTTCAAATTGGATGTGCTGCGAACAAGACCGGCGCGTTTGGAATTCTTTTTTAAGCTCGGCTTGTGGAACAAACGTTCTGCCATGAACTTGAAATGCCAAACTAAAGCCAATTTATTTCGAAAATTTGTTCGAAATCATGAAAGGGCCTAAAATTACACAAGGCCTTTCAATGGTGACTATGTCAAGACCTATTTTGACATTTTTCTGCAATGAAGTTTTGCACTCCAAATATTCGTTATGGTAAATTACAGGTTATGGTAAGTACAGGTATTCCCATGGGATCATCAAAATACAATACAAAAATATTAATATCTATATATGCCATGTCAAAGTAGGTACAAATCTTTCTGGCCTTCAGTGAAGAAGAATTTGTTTCTTGATTGGAAAACTGTGCACTATGTCATTTGAGAGTCTTTAGTGCACGCCAATACCAAATTTTGATTTTAATTCACAATAATTGTAACTGAACTGAATTTGGCAACATAGATATGGGGCCTTATCTTGCCGATTATTTAGATTTCTTCTATTTCTCCAAAATTTTGTCAAGTGGTTTAATATTAAAACTTTCTTTTGATTAAATACATATCTCAAAAATGCCCAATCAATAGTTAACAGACATATATATATATATATATACTTGTACTCATCATTTAGAATTTGGTTTTATTCGACGTCATTATCTTGTTATCCCCTGTCGGAATATATAGTGTACAAAAAACACTAACAATTTTTTTGCTGTATAACCTATAGTCGAATTTGTTGTTTTGCAAACTGGATTGGACTTTCCCAAATAATCGTTTAAGTGCTGAGATTTCCCAACAATATTAACAACGATAAAATAGTAGATTTGTGTCTATAGTTTTTTTGTATTATTTGTTGTTGTTCTTTTTTTTTGATATGATAGCGGATGGGGTATGGCACACGGCTGCCAATTCTTCTGCAATGATAAGACATTCAAAAGACCACGAATGATAAGCGGGCCGCTGAGTATAAAAGTATGACCGATGATGGGTCAAATCAGCAGTTGTATTCGTACAGTAGCACCATGAAATTCTTAATCGTTTTTGCTTTGGCCTTGGCCGCCGTCTCCGCTGAGGAAATTTTCCAACGCGATTTGGTTGTACCCGTCATTGAAGGTGAGGGTCGCATTACCAATGGCAATACTGCTACCGTTGGTCAATTCCCCTATCAGGTCGGTCTATCCTTGAAGGTTAGCGCTTTCTCCTCGGCCTGGTGTGGTGGTTCCTTGATTGGAAACAGATGGGTTTTGACTGCTGCTCACTGTACCGATGGGTAAGTTCATAGGAGATTTTTATCAATTTGGCCATTCACTGATTTACGTTTTTTTATTTATTGTATTACAGTATCTCTTCCGTAACTGTCTACTTGGGTGCCACCGTCCGCACCTCCGCTGAAGTCACCTACACCGTCTCCAGCAGCGACATCATCATCCACTCCGGCTGGAATGCAAATACCTTGAAGAACGATATCTCCTTGATCCGCATCCCATCCGTCAGCTACACCAGCCGCATCCAACCTGTCCAGATCCCAGCCATCTCCAGCTCTTACTCCACCTATGTCGGTGATTATGCCATCGCTTCCGGTTGGGGCCGTATCTCTGACTCTGCCACCGGTGTCACCAACAACTTGCAATGGGCTCGCATGCAAGTCATCACCAACTCTGTCTGTGCTCAAACCTACGGCACCTCCATTGTTACCGCTTCCAACATTTGCGTTTCCACCCCCAACGGTGTCTCCACATGCAATGGTGATTCTGGCGGCCCATTGGTTTTGGAATCCTCCAAGGTTCAAATTGGTTTGACTTCATTCGGTGCTGCTGCCGGTTGTGCCAAGGGTTACCCAGCTGCTTTCACCCGTTTGACCAGCTACTTGGATTGGATCAAGTCCAACACTGGTATCTCTTATTAAGTAACTTTTTCATGCAAAAAAATAAATTAATTCCTATTTTGTAAAAAAAAACTAAAATGCTTTACATTACTGAAATAGAGGATATGTGGAAGTAACGCCATGGGAGTGACGATTGCGAAACCCCGATCGCAACATAAAATCCGTCGGAACATTTATATAGTGTCTGCCAAATACAATTTTTTATTTTTTGAAACCGAAAAAGGGGGTTGGGGTTACCTTAATAATCCACGTCTTTTACAGGACCTCAAAAATATTCCTTAAATAATCGAACCCTTCTTAGGAGCCAGAAAAATTTGTCTTTAAATAATCCACGCCTTTTATAGGACCTCAGAATTTTTTTTTAAATAGTCGAAACCATCTATAGGACCTTCTTCATGCAAAAAAATAAATTAATTCCTATTTTATAAAAAAAAACAGTGAGCGGAGCAGTATCCACGTCTTTTACAGGACCTCAAAAATATTCCTTAAATAATCGAACCCTTCTTAGGAGCCAGAAAAATTTGTCTTTAAATAATCCACGCCTTTTATAGGTTTTTTTAAATAGTCGAAACCATCTATAGGACCTTCTTCATGCAAAAAAATAAATTAATTCCTATTTTATAAAAAAAAACAGTGAGCGGAGCAGTATAGTCGGGCGGGGCCGACCATACGATACCCTACACAACTTCCATGAAAATCTAGCTTCTGTGGTTCGATATTCTGAGATATTTGCGATATTTGCACACTTTTGACTGGCTAGGGGTCAGCAAATGTTACTAATAATCAGTACAGCCATTCTAATTACTTGCCCGGATTCCCTTCACGGTGGATTGTGTTGTTATGTTCGGCTTTCGACTCGAAAAGAACAAATATGTAAGTTTTCTGTCCACTTCACCCGAAAAATTATTATCTGATCATCACCTAACATTTTAGGGGTTGTCCTTGACCATAACTGGAACGACATATTTAAGTGTAACTCCCGCATCCGAGTACCTACGACAATATAATTGGTATCAATTTAAAGGTCAGCCACTCCTCTTAGATATAATATCAACTTCTCGGGTAAATATATAAATTTGACCCGCTATATATTGACCGATCTTTATCAAAAAAGGGATGCTTATTCTTTGGCCCAATCCCCTTCTCCATTCAAAAATTCGCGGTGTTTGGGCCATAATTGCGGCCTCTAGAGCGGCCAGAAAAACCGACAAAAATGCAGATTTTGGTCCACTTCATCCCCTAAATATTAACCGATCTTTTCCAAAAACAATAGGGGTCTTCATTGGCCAGAACCCACCACCCTATGGCCTGTATCGTGTTTATAAATTATAATGGACGGACGGACACACATGTCTAGATCGACTCAGCTAGTCGAGATATGACGATCGGTATACTTAAAGGTGGGTCTAGGACCAATAGTTCGCTGCGTCACAAACTTTTGGGACTGCACAAAGCTCTAATACCCTGACAACGTAGTTGTGTAGGGTATAAAAACTAAAATGCTTTACATCACAGAAATAGAGGATATGTGGAAGTAACGCAAATGGAGTGAGTGTTCCGTCGGAACAGAAGCGTTTTTATGACCTTCAGCAATTTATAGGCCAATATTAAAAAAAAAAAATCCTTCAAGTGGCCTTTCATTCTCAGAAATGCCTCCTCGTCGTTATATTACTCCGAAAATGAAGCTAGAGTCAATAATATGCTTAATAGTAGACGGGAACTTTATGTGGGGACAGAATATGACCATACAGCATTGACCATTTTATAGATAATGAGGGTGTATTCGAAACATTGATCTAAAACGGATTTGGTCCAATGATACATGGAGTCTTTATTTGGAACATATCCGTTTCAAAAAATTTGGAGTCGATTTACAAATGTCCGTTCGTCTGTCTGGTTGGCTGGTGCGCACGATATCTCTCGAAGGGTGTAACCGATTTAAACCAAACTTTGCATTTCGTAATATTTCTGGGGAATGTCAATCGAAACATTTTGTTACCTCCAAAACAAAATTGTGAACATTTTTCTGAAAAATAATTTTGTAATATGATCTATATGAAGACCTCCACCTATCCGATTTGAACCAATCTTTGCACAAACTAATATTTTTACCAAGCCTGTATATTGTTGGAATATAAAACTTATCGGCACATTCCATCATTAGAGTTTGGCCCATTTTTCAACATTTTTGGAACGTGAATTTTGAAATAAAATAAATAGTCTCTTTTGGTTGCTTACATTCAATAGTTTTTTATTTATTTATTATTTTGTTTGTTCTGTTTTTTTTTTATAAATAATTCAAAGCATATGTTTGCTGTTATAATTTATAATATTGTATATTTTTGTTTCATTTAGATTCAAATAAACACTTGAAACAAAAACATATGTTACATCAAAAATAATTTCTTGTTAATATTCTATATGTTTCTTTTTTCTATACAGATTTCATTAGAGAAAATTCTAATGCCATAATTTTTGGTTTTCCCAGGATAGAGCATAGAAAAAATATACAATAAAGATTTGAGTTCAGTTTTTGCCATAAATACAGAGGCAATGGCATATAGAAAGGCGTTTTGATTGAAGATTCAAAGCAAAGTGTAAAAAGAATTTCTTGTTTTGGTTTTTTGAAAAATTAAAAATAATATCAAGTAAGTTTTAGTTTGTTTGTATTTTCTTTTATAGCACAACCATTTTAGTGTGTTTGAAACATTTTCACTTTTTTTGAATTTTGTTTTTTTTTTGTACAACATTAAACAGTAAGAGTTTATTGATTGGTTTTTGTTTTCAGTTTTCTTATTTATTTTTCTAACAATTCAATATCTTTAGAAAAAATATTTGAAGTTACAACAATAAAGTAAACATACAACGTGTTATATAACTATTTAATATATAGGATGGCCCAAAAGTGTGAGGTGTTGAAAGTAAAATGTTAGATAAAAAAGTTATGAAAACTTATGAAAAAAAAAAACAAAATATAACTATGAATATATTTCAGATTAAATTATTACTGTTTTGATGATAAATCGTATATGTTAACAAGCTTATTTGAGTATGTATTCCATTCATTAAAAATTGACAAAAAAGGGAATTTGATATATTCCTTAAATGATGGACATTTGAAATACTCAATACAATTATTCTTTCAATAAACCACGCTCAAAAACGATTTTTTCAATAACCCGCGCCTTCTATAGGACCTGCAAAAATATTATACAGGACCTCAAAAATATTGTTGAAATAATCGACGCCTTCTATTGGACCTCAAAAAATATTCTTTTAATAATTCACACCTTAAAAATATTCTGACGGATTTATATTTTATTATTTTTTATTTGGTAAATCGGTTGAGGATTGGCTGAGTTCCAGTGGTTGAAATGTGAAGAAATACGCCACTATCCTCTGAAATCCATCAACAGCCAGGAATCTTATGGTAGCTGCTAACTGCAGGATTTCGAGAATGGTACCCTTGTGTATGAAAGGACCAACTTCTCTCAAAATATCCATAAATGCTTATTTTAACACGTTTCAGTATCATTAGACTCTTTCTGGTAGAAACCAGGGCAATTAATAAGCCAGCAGGCATATTTTTTCTTAATTTTTTTGTTAAACAAATTGCAAATTCCAATGAAACCTATGTTTTTTATTGAACACATTTCGTAACATATTGTACACAGCTATGCTTTCGAGCCGCACTTTCGCTCGAAATTGAGCACACCATTTTGCACACAACAATTTAAAAAAGTATGGGAATTCAAAAACTCTCGGAACATGTCACATGGGCGAAAATTATATTTTTTGAAACCGAAAAAGGGGGTTGGGGTCCCCGGGGTGGGTCCCCGGGGTGGGTCCCCTTAATAATACACGTCTTTTACAGGGCCTCAAAAATATTCCTTAAATAATCGAAGCCTTCTTAGGACCCCAAAAAAATTTTGTCGTTAAATAATCCAAGACTTTTATAGGATCTGATGGATCTCAAAAATATATAGTCCACACCTACGAATGGATCTCAAAAATATTCTTTAAATAGTCCACACCTACGAATGGATCTCAAAAATATTCTTTAAATAATTGAAGCCTTATATACCACCTAAAAAAATATTCTTTAAATAATCGAAGCCTTCTATACGACCTCAAAAAATATTCTTTAAATAATCGAAGCCTTCTATACGACCTCAAAAAATATTCTTTAAATAATCGAAGCCTTCTATATTCGCCTACCATGGGGCCTCCAAAATATTCTTTAAATAATCGAAGCCTTCTATATTCGCCTACCATGGGGCCTCCAAAATATTCTTTAAATAATCGAAGCCTTCTATATTCGCCTACCATGGGGCCTCCAAAATATTCTTTAAATAATCCACGCCTACCATGGGACCTCCAAAATATTCTTTAAATAATCCACGCCTACCATGGGACCTCCAAAATATTCTTTAAATAATCCACGCCTACCATGGGACCTCCAAAATATTCTTTAAATAATCCACGCCTACCATGGGACCTCCAAAATATTCTTTAAATAATCCACGCCTACCATGGGACCTCCAAAATATTCTTTAAATAATCCACGCCTACCATGGGACCTCCAAAATATTCTTTAAATAATCCACGCCTACCATGGGACCTCCAAAATATTCTTTAAATAATCCACGCCTACCATGGGACCTCCAAAATATTCTTTAAATAATCCACGCCTACCATGGGACCTCCAAAATATTCTTTAAATAATCCACGCCTACCATGGGACCTCCAAAATATTCTTTAAATAATCCACGCCTACCATGGGACCTCCAAAATATTCTTTAAATAATCCACGCCTACCATGGGACCTCCAAAATATTCTTTAAATAATCCACGCCTACCATGGGACCTCCAAAATATTCTTTAAATAATCCACGCCTACCATGGGACCTCCAAAATATTCTTTAAATAATCCACGCCTACCATGGGACCTCCAAAATATTCTTTAAATAATCCACGCCTACCATGGGACCTCCAAAAAATTTTTTAAATAATCCACGCCTTTTA